TTTAGATAATTAGCAAGAAAGTTAGATTACTCTAATTTAGAGTATCTTGGTATTTGATAAAGTTAGAGAGTATATGCTTATAAGTTTTAGATATATTTCGGTTCTCCATAATGAAATGGCAATGATAGATCTTAAAAGCTAAGATATCTCTACATGAAAACAGATATATTAAACTATTCGTTACTAGTTAGAGAAAAGGGAAATTTTAATCAGAATTTAAATAAATCTGGTTTTGATCACATTTAAGTTTATTTATCTCTCAAATATGATATTAATTAAAATTTTTCATCACAGTGGCCACATGATTTTCATGATCTACAAAATAAAAAGTGAAAATGATTTACTGATATTAGAAAAAAACTAAATAATCTATTGAGGTTATTATTATTATAAAATGCTTAAATTACTGTTTGTCTTTTTATATGCTTTTTTTCTACAGTATGATCTCATAGAAAAATGGAAGAATGTTAGTGATCATTAGGTCTCTAAATGTATTTAATATTCATTTATTCATTATTTCTTGTCCAAAATTATAAACAAACTTATACACTATATAAATATTGATTGTAATAATTAATAAAATATATTAACATCTGAACATTTGTTAAGTTATATACAATTTTTATTTATTAAAATCTAGCAAATAATTCTAAAATCTTTAATCCTCATTATAATTCCGCTACTTCTTGGAATGTTTTTCACCAACTTTTCTTATACGTCGACTGAAATATTTTATTATTCTTTCAAAGATTTGTTACTTTCAAAGAAGTAACAAATTTTATTTTATTTTTCTGATATTCTCTCGTTTCATGAAAGCAATTTATTCTAAAGACTTTTATAAGGTTTTACTGCAATGAGATATAAACCTTTTACCTTATTTTTCTGGACATTTTTTATCTGTAAATCTGTCCGTTACAATAGAACACTTTCATATGGATAGCTACCAGTTAACAGAAGTACAGATATTCTTACAGAACAAATATAAGTGAAACGTGATTGGTCTAGGACGTCTAAATAGGTATTGAATTCAGCCGAAATATTCGAAGATCCGGGAACAAATCATAAAAGTTAAGTACAGATAGCATGATACTCCAAGACACTCGTCATATTGTCTCTACGTAATTTTAAATTATTAAATAAACATGCTTGGAATTCTAGATGGAATGATATACAAGAGGTCTGTCTCAACTTTCTCGAATAACAATAATTTTTTCATACACGTACTCTACGCCAACAATAAATTTTCATTAGTCCATTTAACGTTTAATGTCCTTTGTTTTTAGTCAGAGATAATTGAAGAGATAATATCAATCTCATATATAAACTTTATTTTAAAATTAGGCAATTATTATTATTACTTTTTTATTTTTTGTTGTGTTTATAGGCCTGTAGTTGTTCAAATCGAGTATCAAACGAGCAGAGCCTTGCCGAATAGTTTTGGAGCCCCAGGCAAACTCCATACCCGGTTCCTCTGATTCAACATTAATTACAAAAAATTCTACAGACTTTAATTGTTCTACGAGTTTATTTTGCGCCCCAGGTTGGAGCCCGGGGCACACGCCCCCTTCGTTCCCCTTAGTTACGCCGCTGCAAACGTGGCGAAATTGTTTGCCACTCTACATTTACAGGGCTGTCGAGAGCTTGTATGGGGCTTCTTTTGCCGCTTACCGAGCGCCTTTAGCAGTGTTTTTGAACAAATAAAATACGTAAAATGTTTATTTTATTAATAAAAAGTTGTCTTAGAGATTTTATTTTCTGTTAGTAAAATTTTATAGGAGTAGGAACAGCTTCGGACCCTTAATTTTCTTCGATCCCAAGGAAAAATCCCAGTTCCCCTCTCGACGGGTTCTGGAGACGGTCGGAAGACCAAAGCAAATAAGGGACATGTCTGCAGCTCTTAGTAAATCGAGTTTGAGTTAAATCCTCACCATCCGGCCGTAATTAACGCCCGTTAGATTGAAAGACTTAAAAAAATGAGAGAAAAAATAAAGCAGTTAGAAACTATATCAAAACTGGATGGAATAGCTAATTGTATTTAATGTTACTGTAATCTAAATAAATATATAAGAAATTGGTTATATGTTTAAAATTTAAGAAATTAAAAATTAAGTTTTGAAGACTGTCTGTTGAAGTATGAATCGCCCTTTATTCTATAGTTTTCTCAATTTCAAACTTCCGGAATACACTTTTGACGACAGACCATTCTTTGTAGGCTAATTGTCGTCAAAATTAAAAACTTCCTTTAAAACCAATGAAAAATAGTTCAACTAAAAACAAAAGTTTAAAATTTGAACAGGTGATACCTCAGGACGTCTTGCATTTTCCATCCTTACTATATGGGGACTATATGTAGAGAAATTATTATAGGCTACAAAGAACTAACTTTGTTGTAAGTAATCATAATGCCGGACAGTGTTATGGCCCTGCTCTAGTGCGAATTTATGCACAAAACTTTGAGCCTTACGCTTTTAAATTTATTATCTGGTAAAGGGAGAAGGGCCCTTTACCAGAAAACCCTTAGAAACCCGATGTACAGTGCCATACCTAAATCCAATACTATTCTGTTCAATTGTATTTTAAAAAATTCAAAACTTTTAATGCAATTATGATAATTTTGATTTTTAAAATCGAAATTAAGATTTAAAGTTATTACATTTTGTATATTTACATAATATAAAAACCTGGGAGTTTTCTATCAGAAATTAACCTATTTTCATTAATCTATTTTATTAAATTATAATAAATAATAACAATGTAGCCATATATTTATCGTTTTTCTAAATTATGTCGATTGAATTGACTATTGAAAAAATAAGCAAAACGATTTATAATGTTCTTTCACAATGCGAGTATTGTTAATATCGATCAGAAAATGGCGCCCCGATGATTATGCGATGCAATTTTCACTTCTAGATTTTTTTAATTCTCCAAACTCGGAGTCGGGAGTTGTGACTCATCATTTCAAAGTCTGAATGTGCACATTGCATTAATGATAACTAGTATTTAAAGAGGATTACTTGGCAGGATTTTCTGTCACTGTCCATTAGCTTCGTCTCTTTCCCTGATGTCAAGTTGGTGGTTTTCGTTTACAAATCGCATCAATATTTGATCTTGAAATATGAGAATCATTTAAGATGACACATGCTGACTAGTTACTTATATGAAAGACTATTACTGTATCATTCCGGCCACTCGTAAGTTGGCTTTTTTATTGGTCGAGATACATTACGTTCTTAGACATACTATTGTTTTCTCAATTGCCTGTAATCATATTTATAATTTTATTATATACATAATTGTCCCAAGTTTAAAAGCAAGTTATTGTATGCTCAGTGATAACATGTGTTTTCTGGGTACAGGTCACAAGGAAACTTCGTAGGTTTCCGGCGAGTCGTATACAATTTTTTTTAACAAGCTTTAAGCGAGTACCAACGTACTCCAGTATCCTTCGTACAGTACGAAAATAACATATGCTAATGATATGCAAACTAGTAATATATAGTTTATTCTCATATTTTCACTGGTCAAGTTTAGTTTGAATGTTTTTCGTCACGAATTCTAGTTTAATTAGAATTGCATAATGGCTCAAGACAGAAAATGGGAAAATAAAATTACGTTGCGAAAACCCGAAGGTTACTCACAAATTCTTTAGATTTTTTTAAATATCAGCATGTTTTTCGAATAATTTTACACCAATTTGAGAGGCATATCTATTCAGTTTTATTACTATTTCTGACGATCCTTTAAATAGATTTTAAGAGTAAACATTTTATGATAGATCTGTATTATTTAAAGAATTTATCTCAGAATTATTAGAAGAAAGGTTACGATATGTACTGTACTTTAATATATGGCAAAGTACGCCAATTCTTTGCAATCCACTCAAATTTTGTAGATTATGACCATTAATACTTTGCCAGGATCGACTCGATACTATAATATTTATATAAGATACGATAGCTTACGTTAGGATAGCTTCACGAAATTATAATTAATAGGGAAATTATAATTAATAGGAAAATTATCAGGAATCCATTATGTAGAAGAAATTTCTGTGAAATCATGATCAAAATATTTTATTTTCAGTAAAAAAAAAATAATAATAAATGCGTAATGTATTCGATTTATCATAGGTTAAGACGTATTTACGATATTTTTATATAAATGATTCTAGAATATGTATGCTTCTTTTTAAATCGCTCATATTGAAATGATCGCTTTGCAGTTCCATGTAACGTCATAATTTTGTTCATTCGCAATTTATGAAATTCATGAAAATACTTTTCTATTTTTCTATCTTTCAATCAATTAAACTGGTGATTTTCAGTTTTATTTTTCGCTTTTGACTCTTTTATAACCATAATATTTTCCTTATCATAAATTGGGGGTTAGGGAATTGTTAAGTGTTCAAAGATTAGATACCTTTTCGGAAAATAACAAATTTTGCTAGGTTTGTAATAATATACTGAAAGAATAATAATTTAAAGAAGTACAAATAATTGAAACGGCCTATGAGGATGCATTTTTCACAAAAACTTGTTTGTGTGATGATTTGGTTGGTATTGATACATTTAAATGAGGTTAAAATTTTAAAAGACACGTGCCTAAATGTCATTACAGGAGAACGAATTACAAAAATCATTAGAAAATAATATGATGAAAAATAGAACGAATCCATTGTCGGATATTAAGCTAATTTATCAAAGGATTTCGATACTACAAACACTTGAATGAAAATAAAATTAAATCGAAGAATTCTTTTCATTTTAGTTATGCAGCTTTTCCAACTTCATTTTTTGCTTTTTTAATTTGATCATTTGCATCATCGGGCCGATTCGAAATCACCGAGTTTTGACGCCGAGTGTTTCTGTTTCGAAGATCTCTGATAAGTATTCAAAAGGGGAACGGTCGGTGTCTATCTCAACTAAGACAACTTGTTCTTTTAAAGTTGCCGAATTTGTTCTGAAAAGAAAAACTTTAATCTGGCCTTTTGTTTACAGGAGTGTCCTTCGGGCATGGTGAGGGAAGACGCTTTCAAAGGCATCTACGCACAATTCTTCCCTCGCGGAGCGGATATCACCCAGTATGCCCACTACGTATTCAATACTTTCGATCATGATCACACCGGATCCATCACTTTTACGGTGAGTAACGTTTTCGTTTTTCTTTTGTTTATACGCGCAATTCATCTGTATCAGAGAAGGTCGTTTGTAGTGATTTAAAAACTCTATTTGAAAAACACGATGGATAGGGGTAGAAGCAAATCATGGATCTGATATTAAATCTAATGTCAAGTCAAGAATCGACTCGAAAATACTTTTATCCGAAAGTAGATCCACCGTCGTCTTATATATTTTCCTTTGTAGACCGTTCAATCGACGGAAAATAGAAGGGAAAGAAAAAGAAAGAGAACATGTAGCAGATTTTCTCTTATAGGGAAAAATTTCTTATTTGTTCTATTTGTCGGACTGTGAGGGAATGTATTATTTTAAATTAAGATATGTATGAGACAGTCTGAGAAATTTATCTATGTAACTATGAGACTATAAAACCTTGTATTTNGAAAGTATTAAAAAGAAGAAAAGTTTTTAAACATATAGCTAGAGAATCAGCAAATAAGAAACTCAGGCAATGCCTAATAGGATAAATTCTTATTAATTTAAACCCTGGATTTTCAGTTTATGAGACGGATGCCATACGACTTAGCCATTGTCCCTTCTAATGTAGTGTGGATTTGGTCTACAGTATTCCTCAGCGAAACAAGATAAAAAAATATTGTTTGGCAAATGGGTCACATAAATATTTTCCCTTTTTTTATTTAGCAAGATTTATTCTACATAAAATATTCACAACTATCAATAGAAGAAGCAATAAATGTCTTCATATCCTACCCTTTTTCAACACCTCAGGAACACAAGTCAACTGCAGAGTCGATATTTTATTTGAGGCTATTTATCTTCCTCGATATGTAAAAAACGTTAAGAAAGTTTCACTGATACTGCAAATTAACAAAGTCTATTAATTAACAAATGTTTAATGAATATAATGGCCAGGATAGTATCTCTGAAACGTTTTTAACGTTTTTAAAGGAGATATAGAATAAAAGTAGCTCAAAAACCGTACACGCAATTAATGGACAGGAGTAATACTCGTTGCAAATTTATAAATGGTATCCTACGATTAACTTTATATTTTTTAATTAATTATTAGAACACGTCTCAATTGAGCGAGGCGCCCTGATACATGCTTATACATGCTGATACATGATATCAAGTCAGGATGATGTTCAGGAGCATCATCCTGACTTGATATTGTTCACACAAAACTTTCATTTTCATTAAAATATTTTTCTCGTTCCAAATTGGTTTGCTCATTCAGTTATCATTAAATTAATTTTTAATAGTGGTTACTAACTCTATGTAATGCTAACATTATATAATACAAGATTAACCCTTTTGTAGGCTGGCAGTGACTTTATTCCTAATTTATGAGCAAAGTGTTCTAATGATATTTCAAGTAAAAAATATCTGGAAAGAATTTTTCTTTTAAATTTTATTTCTAAATTATATTATCTAATTTTATCAATGAAAGAAAAGTATTTAATTCTACACAGATTTATCTATCCACTAATTCATTTTATTTTTTTTTCTTTCTGCTACTGCTGCATTCTCTACCACCTTCTTCTTAGGCATTTTCTTCTTTCATTGAACACATTTTTATTAAATTTCATTTAAGGAATGTTCACACAGTATACAATTTTTGACTTCATTTTGTTTAGATTAATATAATTTCTTTTTAAAATAATATTTATCTTGTTTCTGTTTAAATGCAAGAAAAAATGGTAGGCTTATACCATTTTTTAATATTTTGATTTTAATGATTGCTATTTACTGTATTAATAATTATTTAATTAGGAGTCAATAAATATAGTTTTACATTTTCGGAATTATTTTATGGAACTTTTGAAAAAAAAATAAAATGCTTTTCATAAGAATATAAATACAGTAGAGTCTCGAAAAACTCGGCCTAATGTGGACCGAAAGGTGGCAGAGTTTGTGAAAATGCCGGGTTATCGGGAATGGGGTTAAAAAAAATAAGTATGAGTGTTTCCTCAGAAAATACTATACTGTACTTGTATGTATTGTTTACTTGCGAATACAACAGAGAATAAACTGCCCAAATACCCTTAAACAAAGGAAAAGTACGTCCTTTATGAAGGCATAGAGCCTTTACTACTATATATAGGCCTATATATTTTAAAGAAGAAAAGTAACTTGGAATAATTTGAAAAAAATTCAATTGAGGAAATGCTGTTACTTCTGTTTTCAATTCTAACGAGGCAATTTTTTTTTTCTTTTTGATAGAAATTAGACCTAAATCGAGACGGAGTGGTGACTATCGATGAATTCATGGACTCCTGTTCTAATGTGAGTATATTCTTATCTCAATATTATATCATGCAGAATAAAATTTATTTCCGTCAACAGTTCTTTATCAAAGAGTATTTGTTTCGTCTTTTTAAGACTTACTCTAGTGCAGTGTTTCCCAACGTGGGGCCCACGCCCCACAAGGGGGCAATTCGATTGTTAAGGGGGCAATTTGAAAATGAGTTGTAATATTGAAAGATTAATCGCGGGCCACATAAATTAATTAGACAGGCCGTATGTTGGCCATGCCTGGTATAGCCACTGTATATGTTAGGGGGGCATGAGAATTTTAGAAAGGCTTAGGTGGGGCATAGCACAAAAAAGGTTGGGAAACACTGCTCTAGTGTCTATAGCGTGTATTTCGTCAGATCTATATTTCAAAATATTACAATTAGTTGACGAATCTAATATATAAAAAAATCAACCATTCTGTCCCATAATCACTACAAAAATTAATTCTATTTGATTGGTCTACATCTTTTAATTTTGAAATCAAAATTACTCTGCGTGGTTTTGGCGTATAATTCAAATTTATTTCACATTCTAGATTTTGGTTATTTGTTTTACTTATTTTATTTTTTAGAAGATTCAATCAATCAGCTGATTTATACATATTAATTAGTTTAATAGATCGCGCCTAAAAATTAAATATACTTTAAGAAGAATATGATTTTATCAGAAATAAAGTAGGAAGAGCCCTTGCTGCATAGCAAATTACTATTTTTATAGACACCTGTCTTTAAAATAGCTTTCAAAAAATAAGATTTTAGCTACTTTAAATTTTCTTGAACATTATATCAATTGCTTTTTAAACAAAAATTAACTGTCTTTTGTGTCTAAATGTGTAGCTTTAAATGTCTAATATAACATATAATAACGTTAGAGAAGACAATCCTTTACATGAAATAACTTTTGTATGTTTGATATGGATTACGATAGAGATATAACAAATTTTTCTTAGGGGAACTTCAACTCGAAATCGGATAAATGATCGAGTGAATACTTTCATTTTTAAAGCTGAATTTGAATCCATTATATATATTCAGAATTTTTCATATATTGGTTTGAAATATATAGGGTCAAATCATTCATCACTCAACCTATTCCATCGTAGAGAAAAAGTAACATGTTGGAATCTCTTTTCGCTCCGAAAGTATTAAAAAGAAGAAAAGTTTTTAAACATATAGCTAGAGAATCAGCAAATAAGAAACTCAGGCAATGCCTAATAGGATAAATTCTTATTAATTTAAACCCTGGATTTTCAGTTTATGAGACGGATGCCATACGACTTAGCCATTGTCCCTTCTAATGTAGTGTGGATTTGGTCTACAGTATTCCTCAGCGAAACAAGATAAAAAAATATTGTTTGGCAAATGGGTCACATAAATATTTTCCCTTTTTTTATTTAGCAAGATTTATTCTACATAAAATATTCACAACTATCAATAGAAGAAGCAATAAATGTCTTCATATCCTACCCTTTTTCAACACCTCAGGAACACAAGTCAACTGCAGAGTCGATATTTTATTTGAGGCTATTTATCTTCCTCGATATGTAAAAAACGTTAAGAAAGTTTCACTGATACTGCAAATTAACAAAGTCTATTAATTAACAAATGTTTAATGAATATAATGGCCAGGATAGTATCTCTGAAACGTTTTTAACGTTTTTAAAGGAGATATAGAATAAAAGTAGCTCAAAAACCGTACACGCAATTAATGGACAGGAGTAATACTCGTTGCAAATTTATAAATGGTATCCTACGATTAACTTTATATTTTTTAATTAATTATTAGAACACGTCTCAATTGAGCGAGGCGCCCTGATACATGCTTATACATGCTGATACATGATATCAAGTCAGGATGATGTTCAGCAGCATCATCCTGACTTGATATTGTTCACACAAAACTTTCATTTTCATTAAAATATTTTTCTCGTTCCAAATTGGTTTGCTCATTCAGTTATCATTAAATTAATTTTTAATAGTGGTTACTAACTCTATGTAATGCTAACATTATATAATACAAGATTAACCCTTTTGTAGGCTGGCAGTGACTTTATTCCTAATTTATGAGCAAAGTGTTCTAATGATATTTCAAGTAAAAAATATCTGGAAAGAATTTTTCTTTTAAATTTTATTTCTAAATTATATTATCTAATTTTATCAATGAAAGAAAAGTATTTAATTCTACACAGATTTATCTATCCACTAATTCATTTTATTTTTTTTTCTTTCTGCTACTGCTGCATTCTCTACCACCTTCTTCTTAGGCATTTTCTTCTTTCATTGAACACATTTTTATTAAATTTCATTTAAGGAATGTTCACACAGTATACAATTTTTGACTTCATTTTGTTTAGATTAATATAATTTCTTTTTAAAATAATATTTATCTTGTTTCTGTTTAAATGCAAGAAAAAATGGTAGGCTTATACCATTTTTTAATATTTTGATTTTAATGATTGCAATTTACTGTATTGATAATTATTTAATTAGGAGTCAATAAATATAGTTTTACATTTTCGGAATTATTTTATGGAACTTTTGAAAAAAAAAATAAAATGCTTTTCATAAGAATATAAATACAGTAGAGTCTCGAAAAACTCGGCCTAATGTGGACCGAAAGGTGGCAGAGTTTGTGAAAATGCCGGGTTATCGGGAATGGGGTTAAAAAAAATAAGTATGAGTGTTTCCTCAGAAAATACTATACTGTACTTGTATGTATTGTTTACTTGCGAATACAACAGAGAATAAACTGCCCAAATACCCTTAAACAAAGGAAAAGTACGTCCTTTATGAAGGCATAGAGCCTTTACTACATGAAAATGAAAATTAATGAATACACTGTGTACAGTAATTTACTTGATAAGACAGACCTCAGAAAAATACTTTATGAGGCATAAAGCTGTCTATAATGAAAATTAATTAACTAAGGATTTTTTTCCCCTTCCAGGGTGTGGCCGAGTTATCCGGACTGCCGGGTTATTGAGTGCCGAGTTTTCGACACTCTACTGTATTAGATATAAATTATTTTCCCGGCTGTTATAGAACTGAGGAAAGGTATTGTAGAGTTCGTGTTGGCCTGTACTTTGTTTTACATTTCGAGATCTTTTGGACTAAAATTTTTACACTTAGCAGGAATAGAGGAGATATTGATGCTCTTACATTTTGGAGAGTGGAGATGGGGATAGAGGTCATATCTCGAGTGGGATCAGACTTAATGAAACTTGCACTTTTTTCTAAATTTTAGAAATTATATCGAAAATTATCGGAATTCCTTCTTGATCTCTTTAATCTCCAGTTCGAATGCCGGAACTGGAGGTTAAGGAGATCAGCTGTTTTCTCATTTCGTCACAGTAGTACAGTACAGTATTTAAATATTCTCAGCTATGAATATATAGAATTATAAATGTAGACTATAATGAATGAAAAGTGATATTGAAATTATTAAAATTACTTTAGTTGTAGAAATATGCGTAAGTAAGACTTGTAGGGGCCTATTGTTGATCAACAGTACGTTAGAAAAATTCTTCAATGTTTCTTGTATTTAGAACCTAGTGTATGTTTAGATATTACAGAGATTATATAAGCAATATCGTGATAAATCAGTAAAAAGAAACCACGCATCTAATGCTGTTTTCTTGCTTAAAAAAGTATTATTTAATACTATTACTTCGCCACTCGACTTTTTAAATTATTGATTGGATAATTTCATACATAAAGTTCAAATAAATTAACTCAGTCCTTATGAAGCTTACATTTAAATTTCCACTAAAATCTGTGTTGAATACGTCTTTATAATACAACGATGTATTTGTAGAATGAGATAAGCCATTTATACAATTTAGTTTATGTATTAACCTACAGATGGCGTTAAGATATTAGTATTTGTAAGAAATGAATGTACAGTACTGTACAATACAGATCTGTAATCTGAACTTTAACTTACTAAATGAAACTGTTTTATCAATATATTATATGCTGTATCATAATAATTACACTAAACAGAAATATTCAGATTACAGCTATAAAGGATTAACGGAACTTTCAATGAATACTAAGAACTTCGCTAATATGCATTAAATGGAAATAAATTCTATCAGAAATTTTTAATTGTAAAATTTATTTAATAGATTAATAGAATATCATTTACATCATAGTAAAACGCACGTTATACAAAAATCTAAGTATAGTATTTGTAATGCAGTATAAAAGATTATTACATCACTAATTTTTATATTATTCTGTGTGACCATATGTGTCGGGAGTCTTGACACGAAAGGAGCCATATATAGGGCCTTCCAGAACGTCTATGGGGCCCGGGATGTAGCGGGTCCTTTTTTACCTCTTCGCGGACTCCTTTAAGTATCTTTATTTAGTTTTTTAAACAAAGAGTAAATACATAGAGCATTTCTTTATAAATAAAAAGCAGTTTAAAAATTTTATTTTCTGTTAGTAAAAATAACATTAAATTTATATGGGCGCTACGGGCTTCTATGAAAGCTATTACATATATAATTTTATCAAGGCAGGTGCTCAAACTGCTGTCCACAATTTACACAGCTTTGAAGTCTACAATTCACCATTTCGCTTCGACAAACATTTTTGTACAATTATCTTTGTGTATTAATTTCTTGAAATGCATTTCTAATGTAATTTTTCAACCTTAATCATAACCAAGTTAAATATACAGTACACCATTGTGGCATTGTTACAGTATAACCCTAACACAAACCCTATTGTTACCTACTTTTGGTTCACCGATATATTAACGAGCAGTGCCGTAACTAGCCATTCCTGTGCCCTGTGCGGGAATTTGCATTTAGGCCCCTTAATTAATTAGGTTTGGGAAAGTAATAAAACAAATACATGCATTTTGGGCTCCTCTTCCAAGTGGGCCCCGTGCGGGTGCACCTGTTGCACCTGTCTAGTTACGGCACTGTTAACGAGTAATTATTTATTGTGACATCTTCACAATGCCAGGCTGCAATTTGATTGGTATCACTTTTGAATTTAACACGAAGAACAGAGATAACTTAGTATGGTATTAATAAAAATATAATGAAGTTATAAAATTATGCTTTCGTTGATCTGGTTAAAATAAATCGAGACTTTTCTACAATGGAAATGCCATAGTATCGATAAAAAATATATAAATAAATAATAAAAATAAAAGTAAAAAACACATCGTTTAAGCGCTACTTTAACGTAAGTAAATTAAAAATTCTCTATAATAGAAGTAACACTCAAATAAATAAATAAACAAACATCAAAAGAGTGTCTTCACAATCTGTCTTTTTTTCACATACAATAACTCAGGAACTCAACAGTCACGTGGCGGAGTCATCTTTTATTTGAAGGCTCTCCTCCGCCTCAATACATTTTTACGTTATAAATGTTCCGAATAGCTATATATAATTTGCTATAAATTTTATGGACTTATCACAACACAGTTTTCAATTGGAAAGCTCACTGAGATTTTATCAAACTAATTTGTACGGTACATATTGGTTTAATAAAATCTCAGTGAGCTTTCCAATTGAAAACTGTGTTGTGATAAGTCCATAAAATTTATAGCAAATTATATATAGCTATTCGGAAAATTTATTGCAATAGAACGAAAAGCAAATAATTACAACATTTTGAGTATTTATTCTATTATGCAAAGTTTTAATTGTTTATTCGTTCTTAAATTTTTTTATCAATGGTATATTTTTACATTGTGCCACCGCCAGTGGGTTTTAACAAGTTTTAAATGTCGAGGAAGAAAAAAACCCCTCAAAATAAAGGTTGACTCCATTGTATGAGTTTGTTGGGTCCCTGAGGTATGAGAAAAAGGCAGTTTATGAAGAGGCTCTATTTATTTCTCTATTTATTTGAGTAGCTTGTATAATAGAAGGAATTTCTATTATACAGAATCTTTGATTGTATATTCGTCCTTGATTTTTTAATCAATGGTATTAATAAATTATAACATGTTTATCTAAGAACCTTTTGTTACTTTTTCATTGTCTCGTGTTTGACAGATCGAAGGAAAGAAAATACATTTACAAAACTTTATTTATCTTTAAACTAAAACTAATCAAAATTTTATTGTATTTTTTTGCAATCGAAGTTATTATTTACTTTCTAAAGTATGTTTTTGAAAATGATTTATTTAAGTAGGAGATTGCCCATTGGAAGAACGCCTCATTAATTCTAGAATGGAAACAGAGTTCTGAGATACGGTTACAAAAATTCTCGATATAAATACTGAATTACAATTTTAAAACTATCCTATTTCGATCAAACTGTAGTGGTACAGTACATGTTATTAACCTATACAAATAAGTTATTGTAATAATCTAAGAAACTTTCATTTGATTTATTGGACGTGACACAAGCTATACGATCGACTTTGATTTTGCTCGTTACGAGTGAGTTTGGCTCATATTAGATTGGCCAGCATTAGTGAAGAATGGAAATAAGTTTTTCATCCGAACGACTATTAAGAAACATAAAAGTTCGAATTGGTTTTTCTGAAAGTTTGGGTCTTTCAGGGAAAAGTACAGTAAATGAAGTAATAAAGAAAACAAATAGATTGCATGCGTTATAAACGAGATCGAAAATGGAGCGAGCTAATTCGGTTTTTTTTTGGTAGGTTTACATTCATTAACCAGAATTACAGTAGTAAATACAATAACTAAGGTTTCATGCTTCTAAAACAATGTAAAACGTTATTTATTTTAATTGGGTTGCAATTTGAAAAAAAAAAAAATTGTAGCATATTGAGTTAATTCAAAAAGTAATCTTTTTTCCAAAATCCGTTTGAAATTAACGATCTTGTATATAATATTAGTAAAGATTAAAAATATTAAGATTTAAAAAGAATTAAATTCAAAAGAAAAAAATTTAAAAGAGTTCTTCAGGGGTGTAATCTTTGTATACGTAATGACATAAATGCAGGTACTGTACAGTACATCACCGATTGCCCGACAGCTGATAGTCCTTCTAAAATCTGATAAAATCGTAAGGTTTCGTTCGAAATTCACGTGGCTACAGGACTATATCATTAGACGACCACAAATTGTATTACGCGTGTTGCGCGTTTTTTCTCCAAAGGCTTCATTTTAAGTAGACAAGTCATTCTTGTAAACTTTTCTCGTAAACTTTAAACTAGTAGATTACTTTTTTCGGGAGTTTTGCCAAAAAACTTGTAGTTTAACAAAATACGAAAATTTAGTTTTGGATTTTTATTTTTCAATTTTTATAATACAAAATGTTCTTAGCAGTCCACGCTACTTTGGGGAGGCGGGATAAGCACGATCAACGGGTCAGATGCGCATTGTAGAGTGAGCTACTTAATCGAATTATCCGTTTTTCATCCGGTAAAACGGATAAAGTTTATGTTTATATTTTGTTCTGTAAAATTATTTTAATATAGTATAAAACTATTTATACTATATTTATTTATATTCACCCTTCGTATTCGACGGTGGGTTTGTACTGACGATTTGTTTTTATTTGCAGGACGACAACATCAAGAACTCCATGACGGTGTTCGACACGGTGCTCTGAGGTTCCGCCCGAGGACCGGAAATCAGCTGCGGAGCGCGGAGACCGACGGAGGGAGTCGCGCCGGCTGGAGGCGGACGGCGCGTCGGCGGTTTCGCCACCCGTCGCCCGGGCCACGCGCGAAACGGCGGCGCGGGACGCCTCGGACACGCAAAACCTTCTCGTTTACTTCTCGGCGTCTTTCTCTTTCACTCTCTTTTTCTCTTTCTCACTCTTTATCTTGGTCGATCGCGAGTAGAGTCTAGTCGAGCGTCGACCGACTTCTTTCGTCTTAGCGTCCGTTCGACACTTTAGTCCGAGTAGAAAAGCGTTTCGTTCCTTAGAGCCGATTCGGCTTGGGCCGATGAAGCGGACCGTTCCGTCCCCTAGACGCACCATTAGATCGTTTCGTCCGTCGTCCAACTCGGTAGCGGTAACGTAGTCGTAGAGGTAGTATTAGAGGTAGCGCTAGTCTTAGCGGTAGTTTTAAAGTAGAGGTAGTGGAGCCGAGTAGTCGTAGCGGTAGAGCGCGTCCGTTCCGCGTATTTCCGCTTCCGGTCGACCGCCGGCGGATCGACGCCCTTCCACCGACGTCGTTCCTGCTCCGTGGAGACACCGTGCCTTCTCGTCACCCGACCTCCCGGCCCCGCTGGCCGCCGGTCGTACGTATTCCGGCGGGTCCGCCACCCATTCGACCCGCTTTCCATCCGCGCGGGACTCTGTTCCGCGCCCTTCCTCGGCCGCGGGCGTCGTCCTCCCGTCGGCGGCGGCTCGTCCGGCGCCCGTCCGTTCTTCTGTCGACTTCCCTCCGATACCTCGGCCGAAGCTCTTCAAAGTACTTTATGCTGTAAATAAAGTTATTCGCACGTTTTTCTCTGTCTTCGTCTTCTCCGTCGTCGCCTTCAAATCCACCGAAACATCGAGGAAGCTTCGGTAGAAGGGACGGAATAGTCCACTTCACCGAACATTTCTCGATTTTTTCCTCGCCAAGACAAATTGATAAATAATGAATATCCTCCGAAATACGTCTCGGCATTTTCTATACGGAAATCGGGCGAACTATTCGGGTGTGGCAAAGCGAAATACCCAGACTCCCGTCGGAAGGAACCGTAAAATCCATTTCCCGTGTTTAATACTCCTCTTAATTAGACTCGTTCGGCACCGTTAATGCGGAAAAATCCTTAAGACACTTTAAAGTTCGTATACAAGAGCGCTTAAGTGTGATTCACGTTTTTGATGAACGTGGGTTCCGTTCGTTCATCTCGAAATTCAATTTTATACCGTATAACGTGTAAATTTTCATGCAATCGTGGGTTAAATTATTAAATAGCAACTCTAAAATGGATTGAAGACGACTGCTATTATTATTATTATTTTTTTAAATCAATGTTTACGAAACAGTGGTTAAAACTAAAAATAATATTTTTCTCCCAAATTGATCGTTTATCAGAAGAGCAATGAACAGAAACGATTTTCGACGTTACAGTTGCCAACGATTTGTCAAGATTCTATTGAAAAATGAAGCCGTAATAATACGTGTTTGATGTTTAAATGAGAGAAATGACTATGCTGCAATCACATCCAAGCTTTTCTTGAAGAGAATACACTACTGTAAAGTATATTGATAGTAAATCATCTAAATTATTTTGGATATCGACACGCTCACGTAAAAAAAAGAAAGGTTTAATGTAATTGAGAGGCTAATATTTTTTAAACGCTTAAAATATTATTAGTGTAGTGTGTAGTTTAGTTTAGTAGCGTAGTTACTGGAATTATTTACTGCACAAATATAGAAAGTGGTCTGACTTAAGATAACCAAAAATAAAAATTCTCAAAATTTTCTTAATCGAATTTATTTAACGGTATTTACGATATAAAATATTAAATTTTAATTATCTGACATTAATTAATTATTCGTGATGCAAATAAAGTATCAAACAATTGATATAATGCATATTTTTGATAATGGCAAGTGCGGTCGAGAAAATTTGCATTTGTACGATTTCCGTTTATCTGATGCAATCATTAAACTATAAAGGATCAAATTTTTTCACTGTGTTCATTAATTATAAGATAATAGAACCTACAAGTAGTAACGAGAAAATGATCATTTCAGAGAATTTAAACGGAAAAGTTCTTGAGTTTCGTAAAAATTTTTAGGAACTCATTACGCCCGAAAGATGAAGAAATAATTTCTTCTACTTTAAAATAACTTCCTTCCTATTCCGTTTTACTTATAATATAATTATATTTAATTATTATCTTGCTGAACAACTTCATCTTTTACATAATCATTTCATTATTATAATTAAGTGCGTAACATAAAGAGCTGATTTCATACATCGAAACTTTGCTGAATAAATCTTAAACTTTCTGAATAAATATTCAGAAAGTTTAAGTTCTATTGTGATAATAATAGACCTGCACTTTTTTACAGCGAACCTTTCAACTCGTTTCGACAAATTTGTTGTCTAAAATGGCTAACAATTAATGCTATCGGTAAGCTTTTTATCTTTTTCTTGTTATTTTCTCAAGGGAATGCTCAACGCGACGTTGTATCACGAATTGTTGATAACGTACCAAAAGAATTTTATATTGCTAAAACCGAATTGTTAAGTTATAAATTAATCAATGATAATATTATAATACGGTGTCGAAAGATTTTTTAGAGTCATTTAAATTAAAGCGCCGAAAGGAAGAGAAAAGCCGATTTAATCAGATTTATCGATTATAGAAAGATAATTTGGGTGAAATTTTGATGATAAATTCTAATAAAATCATCTTGTGTTCTTATTTATTTATTTACTGTAATTTAAAAAAATGATCGTTTTGAGAATGTAAACAGAATTTTCTCTCATTGGAAATGATTTTTGTTTTTATCGAAATCATATTTGGAAAGGAATTTAATATTTAATTATTAATATTTAAGAGTTTTAATCGAGATCATTAAGAATCTGATTTATGTTTCGAGAGTTTGATCTAGGAATTTGAATCTGTCAGGTTTTTAATCCGTAGAGATTATAAATGTCAAAACTTCTGAACAGAATAAAACTTCCCACGGGAGAATCTCCATTCGATTGCTGTCCACGTGTATTCTTTCCTTCTTTTTCTCGCGTAATGTTGACCTTAATAACTAGAACCGAGAAGGTCAGAGAATCAAAAATCCATTTCAAAAACCATGAATAAAATCGATTGTATGAAATTTCATCAGAAAGACATTAAGGAGAATGTGAATTTTTCAGACGCTTTCAAAAATTTTCATAAAAATGAACAAGATATGCCTCAATGGTTAACATATCAGTACTGTACAACATCTTTCTGTACCGTGACTTCTGTACTGTAGTAACAATTAATAATTTTTTAACGATAAAATGAAAATTTATCAAAATTAAGATTTCTCGAGAAATCCGGTTTGAATTTTCCGATTATCGAGAAAACAAACACGATTATTAAAACGTCGTATACTCTCAAGTCAGATAAGTGAAGTCCTGATATTACTTTTGTATTGCCATTTCTTTATAAGGTAATTGAAAATAATTTTGAATGTGTACATTTTACTTAATTAAACCTTTAACACTTAATTAATTACTTAATGCCAAACTAGATGCTTCTTAATTTCCACAACAACACTTTATCTCACTGAGAATTATTAACTTTAACAAAGGTTTTCAACCTGTTCTTCAGGCTATCTTCAGGTTTTTTAAAAGTTTATGGAACATTGATCTTTAACAAACTTTGAAAAAATACGGCATTAGTAACTATCGATATACTACGTTTGGAATTTGATGCCTGATATCTGGTGGTATCTGAAGTATCAAAAAATAAAACTTCCATTTCTTTTAAGTCTGACATTTCGTTTTCTAGTCAGTATTTCTCTTTCAAATACAGTAAATCTATTCTTTCATTTGAAGTTATGTGTTTCATTAGGAACACATTTAAATCGCTGATCACATTTTATTTCTAAGGCATTTTATTTCTAAAAATTCTGAATTGTAATAACATGAGCATGAATAGTAAAAATTCATTAATTTATTTAAAATTGTAACAAAATATTACAGATAATTTGTTAATTATTGAGTAAATATACTAATGACTATCACTAGACTGCAGACAATTTATATTTGTCGATATGACGCTATAAAGTAACGAAATACTTTTTATTGAGTTACTTTTAATTTTTTGCAACGTATAACATTAATATTAGTATATTTACGTTAATATTGTATTAACATAAATATAAATTTATGTAATGTAAAAGAAATTGACCGAAAAGCAATGTAGCCTCAACATACAAGTCTTTTTCTTTTCTTACTATGTATAACTCCACCCACTCTTTGGCATATCCAAATTGCTGTATTGGAGTTATTATTAAGTAAAAAAGAGTTACTTTAACATAAGCTCTGAGGTATCGCAAAATTTGCTCTGATAATCGAGACGGCTATTAAGTGACTGATGGATGTGTAAAGTTACAACATGGATCCGAGTAGGACGATTCTGAACTTCATTATGCTATCCAGAACGGCGCGCAATTTAAAACTTATGATTTTTGTTTTTTATTTTTGTAATTATTTTTAATATTTTAGAATCGTGGTTTACCGCGGGTAACTAAAACCCGAATATGAAGGGCTACTACATTGCAAAAAGCAATACCGAAGCAAGGTACTGTACATACATCAAATGTTTATACAATTGTTTGATTGTTTGTCAGATTTTAAAAAATAATTATCATTTAGATCTTCATATTCCGCGATTCTTCCTACGGAGATCATAATGCCATATTTTTACAGAGTAGGCCTACTCCGTTCTGATGATATATCACACATCCGCAATTGTTTAGAAATGGCCCTCTTAAAACAAGTTTTTTTTTTTTTTGGCCGAACGAATGTTTTCTGTTATTGAAAAAATAAAATAAAAATGATTATTAAAATCTCAGTAATAAACTAAACTATAAAAATCTCAAATTATCTTATACTTAAAATATTCATATATTTATTAATTATATTAATCAACAATTAAATTGAAATTATCTTATACTTATTTGGAAACTTCGATTTAAAAACTGCTTTCCATCTATGAGTAATTCTGTTCGCTACATAAAATTTATGAGTATTGCCCTTCTTATTCGGTTCCATTCGAAAACACGCATACTGATTCATCTAATTATCAGTTGCTATATATCTGAATCGGTAAATGACTAATTTTATTTTACGCAACCGATTTTATTCTCCATCTTTTCTTTTCAATCAAAATCACTTTGTCTTTAATAGGCGAACTTTAATCCCTCTAAACTAATTAGCAACTTAAACACGTCCTGTCTTCGCTTTGTCGTCTTTCGCTGTGTTTTAGTTTACATAAGTTGAGAGTAGACGACGAACATAACGATAAAGTAGCCTACATACTTTTCAGACGACATGCCTATTAACATTATTTTTTAAAAACATTTTTATAACAAAGTAATTGAATAAACGCAGAAATTCTTCATATTTCATCTAAGTTACACCTCGGAAACAGTCTTCGACCTTCTATTGTACGCTCTTATCCGCCTTAATGTAAGATTAAATTTTCCTTCGGCAATGGCTAAATCATAAACATAAATTGCATGTTAATATTAATAAAAACTAGTAGAATAGTCAGGATGACAATTATATTTTAAAAAATTTTATAAGAAAATATTAAGGCTGATAATGGTCTACAATAAAACGTCGAATCTGCCGTAGACTATTTGTTACCGAGGTGAGACATGGACGAAAGATGAAGAATTTCTGTGTTTTTTCAATTATTTTCTTGTAAAAATTTTTTAAAATATACATATAATTGTCATCCTGGCTGTTCTACTAGTTTTATTAATATTAATAACTAATATTTTTATGCGATAACGATTGGGGAACGTAAAAGGTTGTTTAAGATAAATTATTAATATCTTGCATAAAGTGTAGTCATTAAAATAAAATCTCATTCGCATTATGATGTATGAAAAAAATAGAATATTTCCGTTTTCTCATTTATTATTCCAGTTTTATATATTTGCGTTTCGGCTAAAGAAATATATATATATCACTATATACATATATCATGAAATGCAAGTATTTGCTTCTCCTCTTAACCTCAATAATCCGTGCCTCAAAATTAAACGTTCTGCTTGAAAACGTTAATTTCCATTATTTTAAATGGGAAAAATTATAATGCGCTACAACGTCAACCAAAAAACATCAACGAATATCCTAAAATATAACTAAAATGCAATAAAAAGTCTGATTTATTAATATATAAAAGTAACAGATTATCGTGTTTAAGATATAAAAGTGCTTAAAACATTGCTTTCTCATCACCAAACGATTGCTTTCTATGCAATAACTTGTACATACAGTTCGAATGCCGTAACATAAATGTTACGTTTAGAATACGACATGGCAAATAATACACAGCGATAGATTTGTGAGAAAGAATGTAGATACAATAAAAAACAAGGAATAAATTGCAATGCATTTTTAAAATGTCTCTAACACTTTTATAAATTGTAGAATTGATTAATTACTATTAACAACTATTTATAACAGTGGCGTAGCTTGGGTGTCAGCCGCCCGGGGCGGCGAAAAATTTCGCCCCCCTTATTTAGGTATCTCAATTTAAAAGACTAAAATTCAGTTTCGTCACAGAATAAGTAATGAAAAATTCCGTGCTAGTGTTGCCACTTTTATAAAATCGCCGACCCAGACGGCAGGTGAGGTTTCTTCGAACAGAAGTTCCTGACGCATGCGTATGTCATTTTGCAATGCGAAGAATAATGTGCAGTGCATGCTGGTTCTAAATCAGTTACAGTTAGCGACTAGGGAGACTTGGATAGGAGTAACGCAAGTGACCTAGCTCTATTGAATATTGAAGGTGTATATATATATACGAATAAGTAGTACTGTACAAGCAAAAAAGGTCAACAGGTTGCGCACGATATCCCCTGACAGCGAGTCGATTCCCGGATTGTCCGGATGGTATTCCGTGCTCATTTCAATCGGTCCGAATCGTAGGTGCACGAAAATATGAAATAAAATGGTTCAAATTCTTACAAGATATTATTATTATTTATTGTGAAATTTTGCCGCCCCCTAAAAAGTGCCACTACTCCTACGCTACTGATTCATAAGCATGTTACAGGAAATTTTGACACGACGCCATGATGCCTCTCGCAGCACCGATAACATCCGAGATGCACATCTACTTCGTTCCTTACCTTGATACTCTACACATTTTGAAAACTTGGACTTACATTCTATTAATTGTAGGAATATAATTCAAGAATTTCCCCACATATCGTTTTATTACATTTGTGATAGTAATATAGGCCTACGCATTGTAAAATAAAAACTGAATATTTCATATTTCTTAGAGTAATCCAATGTCCGAAAAGAATCCAGATTCAGGAACAATGCATTGCCTTTTCCCCTGTTACCTTATAATCCGTCGACAGAATTTTTTTATAGTCGAAGATCCAATGTTTTAAAATATATAATTTTTTACTACAACTATGATAAACTAATTTCTGAGAAACGAAAGTTGTCTTGGGATACGAATTCCTTTCCATTACCAAGACAGAAAGATGATGTCTCTTTCACGACCAAATCGTGACTGTCCTTAGAAACGAATTGAACTAAATTGTTCAAAAGAGTTGCTTCCTGCCACTCCCTTCAACTCTAAATTGAGTGTCATTCTTCCTTGCGCTAAATCGGGTCTCGTCCGGCAAAACACTTCGTGGAAGTCTAGCGCTTGGCTATAAAAGCGGAGAGACCAGTCGATCGTTAGTCGAGTCCAAAGAGTCCCCGGCCCTGACGAGAGAAGCTCCGCCATGACAGTCAAGGAAAAGCAAGCTAGGCTTATGCCTCTGTTCAAACACCTGACGGCGTTAACGCGTGAAAAGTTGCCCGTCTCTCAGCGCGATGACCGTCTAAAAGGAGTAGGCATTCTCCCTCGAGGCACTCTCTTCTCTTGCTTCCATTCTAGACATCTGGCCGAAGCCACCGAACTCTACGTCACCCTCTATGGTAATTCTCTCTACGGAGTGATCTGGCCGATCATTCTATTCTTCATTACTAACCGTTCCGTTTTCAGGGGCCAAGGACTTCGACGACTTCATGCACCTGTGCGAACAAGCTCGACAGATAGTCAACGAAGGAATGTTCGTCTATGCCGTCTCCGTGGCAGTATTGCACCGAGAAGACTGCAAGGGATTAACTGTTCCTCCCATCCAAGAAGTGTTCCCCGATCGTTTCATTCCCACCGAGACCATCAATCGTGCTAATAAAGAAGCCAGCAACCACCCTGACCAAGTAAGAGTTCTCTTTCAGTTGTTCAGTTCTTAATTTGTAGATTTCCTCTCTAACCCTTCCTTCCTGCACTTTAGGCCAGTATTGTGGTAGAGGCGGAAGAAACCGGAAACATTCTCGATCCCGAGTACAAGCTGTCCTATTTCCGAGAAGATATTGGCATCAATGCTCATCACTGGCATTGGCACATTGTATATCCAGCTACTTGGAATCCTGCTGTCATGCACAAAGAGAAAGACAGAAAGGGTGAACTTTTCTTCTACATGCATCAACAGATGTGCGCCAGGTAAGTCATTTTATGAAATATTCGCCATTGTTTTCATGTTAAACGCAAATTTATTATTATAATTTCTTTTTCTATTTTTAGATACGACAGCGAGCGATTATCCAATGGACTACAACGAATGATTCCCTTCCACAACTTTGATGAGCCTCTGGAAGGGTATGCTTCCCATCTGACATCTCTGGTTAGCGGTCTGCAGTATGCTTCTCGTCCTGAGGGATACAGCATCCATGACTTGAGCGATGTTGACGTTCAAGATATGGTTCGTTGGAGAGAACGAATCTTGGATGCTATCAACATGCATTACATCATAGACAAAGATAACAATAAAATCCTGTTGGATGTGGAAAACGGCACTGATATCTTGGGCGATATCATCGAGTCTAGTGACGAATCCAAAAACGTAGAATATTATGGCAGCTTGCATAATTGGGGACACGTGATGATGGCCAATATTACCGATCCTGATCATAGATTCCAGGTATGTGTCTATAGATTAAGACATTTCTTGAAATTTTTACCGATTGACACATATTCACCGAAGATTGTTTCGTATGTAGGAAAATCCAGGTGTAATGAGCGACACTTCCACTTCTCTACGAGATCCCATTTTTTACAGATGGCACAGATTTATTGACAACATCTTTCAAGAATACAAATGCTCTCTACTACCCTACACCCATGATGAGGTAGCTATTTCTCTATTGAATTTATCAGTTGTAATAAATATTGAAGAAATTAAGCAAACGACTTATCATTTCAGTTATCCTACCCCGGAGTGCAAATCGTTAGCGTTAGCGTAAACTCCAAGACCGCCAATGTTATCACCACTCTAACCAAGGAGGACGAGCTGGAATTGTCGCACGGTATCAATTTTGGAACCGATCAGTCTGTCAAGGTATAAACTTTTCGTGTTTGCGAGATCCGATCTTTACTAGATATGAAATAATTACTAACATTTTCTCTCTAGGTTAAATATCATCATTTAGACCACGAACCATTCAGTTACAACATAGTAGTAGAAAATACATCCGATGCTGAGAAACATGCAACTGTTCGTATTTTCCTCGCTCCAAAATATGACGAATTGAATAACAAACTAGAACCAGACGAACAGAGACGTCTGTTCATCGAATTGGACAAATTCTACTCCAACCGTAAGTATGTCTGATGATCGTCGACCATGAAAATACAAATCATACGACTAAAACTTTTTTTTTTTTTTTGCAGTTGCACCCGGAAAGTCCACTATCACTCGCGACCATCGAAACTCAAGCGTGACCATCTCCAAGGTGAAGACCTTCAAAGAACTAGATGGTGGAGTAGGAGTAGAAGAAGATTCTACCGAATACTGCAGTTGCGGATGGCCAGAGCACATGCTTATCCCACGAGGTAGCCACAAGGGAATGGAATTTGAATTGTTTGTCATGTTGACTGATCACGATGAAGATACGGTGAGTAAATTATTTCAAGGTTCAAATATCAAATGCCGCCGTCATAACCTTTCTTCTCTATTTTAGGTGGCTGGACTGAACGAAAATGCCGTCTGCTCCGACGCCGTCAGCTATTGTGGAGCAAGAGACGATAGATATCCCGACAAGAAGGCTATGGGCTTCCCATTCGATAGGAAGATTCTGGCCCGCACCGCTGCAGAATTCTTGACTTCCAATATGGCTTTGATCGACATCAAGATCAAATACCAGGGCTAATTCTCGTATCTCACTCTTCGCTTGTAAAATTCTCTCTCCAATAAAATTCAATCTAGAGTAAAAGTATTTCTTTTTTTGTCAATTTTTTAAGACGAATTTAAAAAACAAATAATGCAATCAGTTGCATATCAATCACTCAGATCGCACTTTGAGATCCAAATGCTCAGATTTCTCTAGAGGCAAAAAGTTCCCACGTTTCTTTATTCTACACAAAATTTTATTTAATTTTTGAAATTTTTGCTAAGAATCAACAACATTTAGAAATGTAAAAAGCAAACTTTTTACGATGATTCACGTAAATAAACTAAGCATATTATAAGTAACTATCTTTCCAAACGGCCGATAAATATTACATGAAAGATTGAAATATACGCTATAGCAATAAAGACAAGTAAAAATAAGCCACGTAGTACAGAATTTATAAAATTCTTTGAAGGTTTCAGGAATGTTATTGTATCTTAAGTATTGATCTAACAATGCTATTTAAATTATCTTCTATCAAGAATGTTTTCGAGCGATTTTTGTTATAACATTTTGATTCTTTACTTATTTTTAAATTATAGATTATGGATTTTTAGTAACAATCTAAGATGAAAATAATCACTGAATGTCACCGCATGACATATGTATGAATGCTTTTCCGTTTTACTTATCTACTTTGTAGATATGATTGATTCTCAGGCGTTCACTGTGTGTTCAATGCTTTTGCATTCTATTCTTTCAAAAGTACATATAATAAAGTCTACCACACTTATATTATTATTGTCCTTGTATAAATAATATACAAGTTTTTCCTTAAAGATAATTTTAGAGAGTATACTATTTAAACATTTAATCAATGGTTATAATAAAATCGATAAATATAATCTGAATGAAAAGAATAGTATTTGATAAATTTACTGTTTTGGAAATTATCATCACTCGTCTATTTGTGGCTTTAATTTCGGATTTATCTTATATCTATAAAAGAACAATATTATTTGAATTTGTCACCACTTAAATTGTCAGTAAATCTTAACTTAACATTGTATTTTTATATATTAATTGTAAGTTTATACATTATTTAAATTATATAATATAAAATAAAATACAAATTATCTATATTTTCAAAAGAGAAGTTTAGTAATTTGTTCACTATATATGCAATTAAAGTAATATTAAATAAATTTTGAAAAGACCACTCTTATTGTTTGTCTGAAAACAAAAAAATTTATTAATAAGATACATTTTAAAAAATAAAATAAATTATTCTATAGCTCTAATAACAGAAAAATGACATTTTTTGAAGTTTAATTAAATACTAACATTTATTTTAATTGAATTAGTTAATTAAATATTAATATTCTATGTTGTTAACTTAACATAATGATATATTAAGTTTAGAAATGGATATCTTTCTCTATAAACAGATTCGGGCTTAAATCAAGCTGGTTGTGGAATCTATTTTCCATTTACCAAATAAATTTCTTTACTACTTAAGCAGTAAAAACATTTCTAACGATTTGAAACTCCTCGAAACGTATTCAAACAATCATTTTGATCAAAGTAATATGTAAATCGACGCCCTGAAAATTCAATTTAACTTGACGAATACCATTCCAAATATGAATTAAGATAGAAAAATATTCCAGAAATTCATTTATAAAGTAATAATTAGAAATTTCAATCACTTTCATTTGCTTTATTCGAGAAAATTTTCAATAAGATCTGAGATAATATCTTCTCGATACGCCCTAATTCCGGATTATATGTAATGATATCGCTGAAGGTTCAAGCACTGTATAGGTCTACATCTTTTCTTTCTATATTCATAGAAAATTACAGATTCGTATTGATAATTTGAAATTTTAGTGAAAACTATCAAACTTTTGATTTGAGGACCCGCCATTTTTTTTATAGTTTATTCGGATATCAATTGCAGAAAAATATAGCACTCGGTTTTTATTAATATTTATCTGTTGATGGAAAAGAGTTATAATTTAACAGATTAGGCTGTTACTATGATTGAGCGTTGATACAATTCGAATAATTATCAAAACATAATAATAATTGTGCAACACTTTAAACTCGAAGTTACTTTACTTCATTAAATTTGGCATTTAATGGATAAATTTTATATATATATATATATTTGGTATATAAAATAAATAATTTTTTATATTTTTGTCTTTTTTTATTATTTTATTAATCAACAATTCATCACACTGTATATATAAATGCATTTTTTAATATTAAAGACTACAGTAAAAATACTTGTAGAAAAGTTTATCAGGTAACATTCGAGAATAAATTCCATTAATATCACACTATTTAAATGCAAATTACATTGAACAACATTCTACCAAAACAGCTGCATTTTAAAAGGAAAAAAAATCGATTTTGATATGTTTACATAACTGTCATATAAAGTATTTTTACTTTCAGTTTAAAAACTGGATTTGAAAGTACTTAAATAATTAAAAAATAGAGCATTAAAGTGATTTAAAATGAGTAAATTTGATTTTAACTTTTGTGAATAGTTTACTCTTTAGGTAAACCTAAATAGGAAAAGACAATATAAAGCAATAGACAGAGGTGAAAGATTCGAAAAGAACTGAAGAGACCAAATTAAAAAAATATTAAGATAGAATAGGCAACCCACAAAGGATTGTAAGACAAAGAATATGAATGGTGAAGTGATAAGAAAGAATGGATGTCTTTAACTTGAATCAACAAAGTGTGGAACAGGGCGATGATGATGGTAATGATGATTTTCCGATGCATCAAGTATATCGTAAATATATCTTCAACTTCTTTATTTCTGTAAGAATTAAGCTAGAAAATTATCGTTCTAGCTGCGACTACTTCATGTTTTCAATCAACTTGATTTTGGTACAACCTCTTGCTTCTTCTGCCTAGCTTTTTATAGAGAAAAATTTTCGATGGTCTTAAGATATTCATCATATTAACATATCTATGCATTACAGTTATTTAACCATTTTCATTTTGTACAGTAATTTATTATTTTTTAGATATTTCAATTTAGAAACAGCAGTTTTTTCAAATCTTGTTTCAAGTTCAATGTTTCAGATGATTAAATTACATTTTGAAATTATAATGTTTCTATACAAATTGATTTTTAATTGTGTTACATTGTTAATTTTTTATACTTTCTCAAATCTGTTCTTATTTGATCTGCTATTTCACTTTTGTTTCATTTAGAATATTAATAAAAAATTTAATAATTTTCGTATAATTTTATTAAGTAAATATATTTCAATTTTCATTTTATTTTATAAATTCGTATTTAAAGGAATAGGTAAAGAATCTGACCAAAATTTAAAGTAAAATATTTCTATTAGAATTTTAAACTTTCGTTTATCGATTGTATAAAGATCTATTAATTAGAAAAGAAGTAGTTTATAGAGTCATCGATAATGACAATCGTAGAAAGTATCTTTAAACCTTACTGGAACTTTAAAAGTAACAACGTAAAAATCTTTTTTAAATCAAAACATGTTCTTCTTTTATTAACAAATAAATATGTAATTAATATACACTGTGGTCGTTATAATTATCGAGAATTTAAGTGTCTGAGATTAAATTATTACGAGTATAACATAATAATTTATATATGTACTGTATATGTTACAGTCAAAACCCGTTTTTAGTTAGAACGCGTTTTAACAAGTTGAAATTAGTTTATACTGGATGTCTTTGTTAAAATCAGTTTTGTCTAGTTAAGACTAGTTTTAACTCAATTTCATTTTTGACTAGCAGTAAATTCTAGTTTTAACTAGACAAAACGGGTTTTATTAAAGACATCCAGTATAAACTAGTTTTAACTAGTTAAAACGCATCCTAACTAAAAACTGGTTTTGACTGCAACATATAGAGTGATTCGGGGTAAGATGGTAAGCGGGGAAAGATGCCTAATTTTTGATATTTTCAAACGGTGACGTCACATATTGTCATGTATTTGTATGATGAATCGTTGGGCCAATACTGTATTGAGTGCGGAAAGCTGTAGTTGGCTACCGTTACTTCATTTTCTACATCTGAGAAGAATAAAAGCTAGATAAGAACGAAGTTTTTGTTGTGAAATGTTTCTAGAATAATTTTAAACTAAAAGTTAAAATGGAATTTATTAAAAATTGCTAAAAACAATTAATGTGTGATGTAGTTAAGGTTCTAAAGTTTCCATTGTCAGCTACCGCCGATCCCGATCGGACATGCTGGAGCACGTGACTCTACTAGGCATCTTACCCCAACAAATGGAAAATATGCCACATTTTTCTTGGGGTAACGTGCCTATTTTTTGTTAATTGATTTCCAATATGCCTATTTTTAATAAACTTTTGTTTTCTCGTTTTATTGCAGGATATGCATAGAAATTATATAAGGACTTCTCAAAAAGGTTTTTGGACTGAAAAAAGTTTTCAGCTAGCTATAGAGCACATTAGAACGGGCGGAAACTTAACAATACTTATACTGTGCTGTTTATACGTGCTATGAAGTACTTTGTACTACATATGCAATAAATTAAATTCGGTTAAGAAATTCAAAAATTAATTTTATGCTATTATATTTGTTATCTTACCCTAATGGCATTTGGCATCTCACCCAGACACTTGGGGTGAGATGCCTAAAATGCCAGACAGTGAAAAAGTCGTCATTGCAAACACAATATACATTTTTTTTTTATAAACTACAAAGTTTTATTTGAAAAACATACTCCAGAATATGATATTTTCATTAGAGGACTCCAAAACCCAAATTAGCGCTATAATTTCCTTCATAAGCAAAATGTTAGGCATCTTTCGCCGAATATATAGGCTAACTTTACACTATACATAACTTTATTTATTTCCCCCAAACATATTTATGTAGCTAAAATTAGTTTTAGAAACGTATTTTATCAAAGACATCCAGTATAAACTAGTTTTAACTGAAAATGGGTATTGACTGCAACATATATATACAAATATGATATACTGCCATGCTGAACATATATTTATATTCAGCATGATAGCTTTATCACAATAATTTAAGTATAATAAGCAAAGTTATATTTAAATTATCTATATATTAATTTTATATCAGCACTATAAGCTATCAAAGTTGAATTAAGTTCATAAAGATTATTAATGTACTGTACAGTATGTTGTAAAGAATAAATGGCTAAAAGGATTGGCAACGAATTCAAAAAGAAAAATATTCATTTAAAGACTGTAGATGAGGAACCAGAAGGCTTGGTTAATACTAATTTTATTAGTCATAAAATTGTAACTACTACTAATTAAATATAAATAACAAATACTAAAATTACTAACCATAGCTAACAGATTTTCTCGTGTTTCATCTATTTTTAATGTTAATACTCGTAATTATGTTTAATTTAACTGCTTTAATTTTATAACTGATGTTTTTATGAGACAATAGTTTGCGATAATAATGATAAAAACATTAAAATTTGTGGAAAAATGAATCGTTTGACATTTATAAATATCTTAACAAGATATAAATGTGCACAGATATCTTTTTAACCACAACTATTCTTTTAATTATTAAACGAAGAATATGGATGTGTGTAAGACAGCACACGTTCAAGGTCGATAAGTGATTAATCAAATAATTTATTCATCGATAATTTCGCAAAGAAATGTTACAATTTTATTAATATTCTTCCATTTTTTATTTGTTTTCCTTAATCTGACAAATGGCAGTTATTAGTTTTTAATTAAAACCTTTCATCAATCTGTTATTGTGGAATTTTAACTATTAAATAGACTTAACAGTTAACATTTAAAAATAACAGACTGACAATATAGACATTAATTTACATAATGCAATAGTTTTAGTTTTGTTTTAATTGCCAAAACTTAATTAGGCAAAAACAATTAGCTAAATTACAATTATTTACGCTTGTTAACAGTCAATTTCTATGTTGTCCCTTAAAATTTAACAGTAATAAATAAAATAATAATAACTCTAGTAATCAAATATGTAAAAGTAAGATTTTTAATAACTCATACAAAATCTATTTAGTTAAAAATAACTTTGATTTGAGTCCCTATAATTATTAAAAATTTATAAACGAATTTTATTAGATTATTTATTTATCAATATTATTTTAAATATAAACATTAGCAGTAATGAAAAATATTTCAAGCACAATTTCTTCTTTCAGACTCTCTTATTCTGATATTCATCTTACAAATGAACAGTGTAAAGGTTCGTGTTTGTTCGATTCGATGGCGTTACTAGCATTTTGCATTTTCTCCATTATAATTCAAATAAAATTTAAATATTTAATAAAATAAATAAATAAATTTAATAATAATAAATAATTTATTAACGCAGATTAATAATTTTATTTATTTATAAAATATATTGGCAATATCGAAAAGCAATGCTTGTCCTTCCTATAAATAACAAAACCTACCAAACTCTCAGTCAAAAAGGAAGAAATATATTTATAAAATCCTGATATATGTTATTTTAAGACAGGATATGGTCTAAAGGCAAATTACTTATTATTACTAATTTGCAGCATTTTTCTTAAAACTTTTTAAATGTATTTTAAATTTTTACGAGTAATTCAAATATTTTAATATTAATTTATCTTAAATGTATTTTTTTTACTATAATTTCTCGATTTGATATGATTTTAGTTCATTTCTTTAATTTTTTTATTACAAAATTAAAATATCTTTCGCTTTTATTAGAAGTTTATGCGACTTGATTCATGACTATTTTTCTGACCGTAATAATAAAGTAATAAGAGTTTAAGAAAGTAATAAGTTTAGGAGGGAGATTCTACACACTTCAATTAAAATTAGCGCACAATTATTCAAGCGAAAATGAAGATTTTATAATTGTCTTCTATTCTAATCTAATCTATATCTTCTAATCAACAATTTTTATTGGTTAAGCGTTTTCTAGTTATATTTTTATGGTTGATTTTATCTTTCCGATATTTCCGTTAAACTCATGTAGTATTTCTATTATTTTTCTTTTTACCCTCTAATTCTGATCAAACACAGCGAAGTAATTTGTCAAGTGTCTGTCCGGTGACGGCCAACATTAGTCTTTAGATTCAACGAATTGTTTTTTATCCGGAAATAACTCCGGATGCACCCGATATAGCGAACTCTCCCAAAGACGCTATATTCGTCCCACAAACACTTCCCGGAATACATTCCTCTCGCATATATAGAGCGGGCACGGGGCTTCGGGCACGCAGAGATCGGCTAGTGTGCGCTCAGGTCCAGACAACTCTCCAGAATGACCGTCGGCGAGAAGCAGAACCGAATTATTCCGCTTTTCGAGCATCTCACTTCTTTGACAAGAAAGAAGTTGAGTATAGACGAAAGGGACCCGCGCCTCAAACCCGTAGGAAAGTTGGAAAGAGGAAAGCTGTTCTCCTGTTTCCATGCCGAACACTTGGCCGAAGCCCAGTACTTATACGAGACTCTATATGGTAAGTCTAAGTTTTTGTTCATTCTCCCGTCTTTTTCTTTTAGCTAATTTCTTCTTTTCTATAGCCGCCAAGGACTTCAATGATTTCATCCACTTGTGTGAACAAGCCAGAGATGTCGTCAATGAGGGTCTCTTCGTGTTTGCCGCATCTGTTGCCATTCTTCATCGTGACGACTGTCGCGGAGTCACTGTTCCTCCCATCCAGGAAATCTTCCCCGACCGCTTCATCCCTGCCGAGACCATTAATCTAGCTCTTAAAGCCGATCTGAACAGACCCGGAGCAGTAAGTGTCCGTCAATGCTGCTCTTTCGAACTTATCCTGTATCTTATCTGTCGGTCATTTTGCAGGATACAATTCAAATTGACATCAAGGAGACTGGCAACATCTTAGATCCCGAATATAATCTTGCATACTTCCGTGAAGATGTTGAGGTCAATGCTCACCATTGGCATTGGCATTGCGTCTACCCTGCTACTTGGAGAGCGGACCTCATGGGCAAATACAAGGACCGAAAGGGAGAACTTTTCTTCTACATGCATCAGCAGATGTGTGCTAGGTAAGTCGACATGTTTATCTTATGTCTTCTCCCTTTTCTTTTCCACGATTACTGATCTTCTTTTCCCATCAGGTACGATTGCGATCGTTTATCAGTAGGTCTGCGAAGAATGACACCTTTCCACAACTTCGAAGAAGAGCTAGAAGGCTACTCACCCCATTTGACTTCCCTTATCAGTGGTTTGAATTATGCCAGTCGTCCTTCAGGACTAGCTATGAGAGATCTCAAAGAAGTAGCTGTGCAAGATATGGAACGTTGGAGAGACAGGATTCTCGACTCTATTCATTTGGGAACCATTATAGACGATGAAGGTAATGAAATCCCTCTGGATGCTCAACACGGAATCGATATTTTAGGAGACTTAATGGAATCCAGCGAAGAATCTAAGAATCGTGATTACTACGGAAGTTTACACAACTGGGGACACGTCATGATGGCTCGGCTCCACGATCCCGACGGCAGATTCAAGGTAATTTTCATTAAACAGATTGAAGAAATTGGAGAAACACCAAATTAACCAACTTCTTTCATTTTCGTAGGAGAATCCGGGCGTAATGAGCGACACTTCCACCTCTCTGCGGGATCCTATTTTCTACAGGTGGCATAGATTCATCGACAATATTTTCCAGGAATACAAAGAGACTTTGCCTTCATACACCAAAGACGAGGTATGTTACCAGTTTCCTAAATTCAGCTTCCTTGTCTTTTTATACTTGTTTAATCGTCTGATTCTATTGCAGTTGAGCTTCCCAGACGTGGAAGTTGTCAATGCCACAGTTAACTCCAAGGTTCCGAACGTCGTCAACACATTTATTAAAGAGGACTTGTTGGAGTTATCTTACGGAATAAATTTAAAAGGATCTGTCAAGGTATATGAGAATGACTATTTTCTAAAAATCCGTTTTTATCATTTGTTAATGTTTTTATTCGTAGGTACGACATCAACATTTGGATCACGATCCCTTCTCTTACACTATCAACGTTGAGAATAAGTCAGGAAACATTAAACATGCCACTGTCCGCATCTTCTTGGGCCCTAAACACGATGAACTGGGTAACCGCCTGACTCTGAACACACAGCGCCGATTTTTCATCGAGTTGGATAAGTTCCACAGCGAATGTAAGTAACGATTAGGCCTACAAGATAAATTTTTATGGAAGAAAAGCAATCTAACATGTCCTTTGTCTATATATAGTACAACCCGGAAAAAATACCATCATGCGAAAGTCAACTGAATCCAGCGTCACTATTTCCCACGTTCCCACAGTAGAAGAACTAAAGAAGGGAGAAGGCATATCCGAAGACAGTACTGAGTTCTGCAGTTGTGGATGGCCTCAACATATGTTAATTCCTCGAGGAAACCACAAGGGCATGGACTTCCAATTGATTGTAATCCTAACTGACTACGAACTTGATAACGTGAGTAGTAAATTTTTATCAAACTCTATCAACTGCATCCATTGATATCCATTAACCTTCTCAATCTTCGTAGGTGGGAGGCTTGAACAATCATGCAATCTGTTCAGATGCAGTCAGCTATTGCGGTGCTAAAGACGACAAATACCCCGACAAGAAACCCATGGGCTTCCCCTTCGACCGTACTATCAAATCTCGCACCATCGCCGATTTCATCACTCATAACATGACCTACACCGATGTGGTCATTCAATTCAAAGAACACTAAATTTCTCTTTCCCGCACTATAAATGTAATAAAGATTTAATAAAGTTTTCCGAATTCTAATCTTCGTTTTTCTGTACTTCTTTAATCGTTTACAGAATTTATTCCATGCATTCGTCCAGAAAAATGCCTTTACCGTTTATTTATTATTAAAATTATTTTTTAATTCAAGATTCCAAACGTGACGTACTTCCGGAAATCTTTAAATCCGGAATTTGAATGCGAACAACACATTTTGAATTTGGCATTTGATGCTAATCATAGATAAAATACTAGAGAACTTAAGAAAATGAATATTTAGAAACTTAACTGTGCTTAATACTGGGTTAACTCTGTTTTAATTGCCTTTCCAAAAAAGGATGTAAATTCTTACAGGCTATCAATCTCGTCTTCTGTGTTAAAAATATTTGAACACCGCCTGTCATAAACTGAGAAGGAAATATTATATCCACCTCTCAGTTTCTCTTTACTAACACTATTCGTTAAGTAACCGTTCTACAAGTACTAACCTTTAATTTACTCAATATTTTATTTTAGATAATTTTGAACAAAAAAAAAACACATATTGTTTATTTTGATATCTAACAGGCTTTTGATTCTGTACTACTCTTCTATTTGCTTGATATTTGTCTGATTACTTTTTATATACGATGCTTTACTGTTAAGCTAGATGACTTTCAGTTTTGTCCTTTCTACCCGTCATGTGGAATTAAACAAGGTGTCTGTCTCATGTGTTACTATGTATGTTTTAGTAACTACTAATATAAAATTTAACACAATTTTGTAGGCTACGCCGAAGATTTGAAACTTATAAATTTCGATCCCACAACCTTACAAACGGATATTATCTTAGTAGTACTTATACATCTTATTATTTAAGAATTAACTTGTAGATAAAACTGTCGTGATGTGTTATTCACTTCTTTGTAACTCTGTCTCCTTTTCCCTTTCATTTGAATGGCAAATCCATTATGTTAATCAGATCAATGATTTAAGCATTATATTTGATCAACTACTTGCCTTCCGTAAACATATTAAAAAGTAGTTAAAAGTTTGGCAATGGATTGGTGTATTATGACACATTTTCGCCACTTACAAATTTTCGGTATAACGAATACATCTTGAATCCCCCGCTAATTTCTTATTCATGTCAGTTTAACGAATACCATTATAATGAAAATTTCAGTTTAACGTAATAAAAATTGTGTTATTTAATTTAATTATTAGTAAATGATGAATATTATGTCAAATAGTCTGACAACATTAATTTAAATACTTAGCTATGGTTTTGATGTTGTTACTTTACAGTTTATTTCTTTTTAAGTTTACGAGAAAAAATGGAGAAAAACAAAAAACGATATACCACAGTTTTCTTTGGAAGAGAATATTAAAATATTAGATATTAGATAGTGAAAAAAGGGAATTGAACAAAAAGATATGCCTAAATGGAATGCTGTGTCACAGTACTGGATTTTATCAAAAAAAACTTTGATTAAAGAAACTCGTCTGATTCTATTGCAGTTGAGCTTCCCAGACGTGGAAGTTGTCAATGCCACAGTTAACTCCAAGGTTCCGAACGTCGTCAACACATTTATTAAAGAGGACTTGTTGGAGTTATCTTACGGAATAAATTTAAAAGGATCTGTCAAGGTATATGAGAATGACTATTTTCTAAAAATCCGTTTTTATCANTTTTACCAGAAAATAACGGCTTAAAGCAGAAATGACAATTAAAGAGGCAGGATTCCAACTAATTAGTATAACAATATCGTTATTTTAGTTATTCGCTCGTAATATTTTTTGATAATGTTTATTCTAATTGTTAAAAATTGTAGGCCTATAAATTCCCACCGTCGTCCATCCGTTTCTCTTTCCTTAGTCTCGAGAACGGAGTTACTGTAGATAGTTGAAAGACGAGACCAGATTTGGAAACCTTAGGGACAAGAGGCGCCGATTAACTACATACAAATTTCCAATGAAAACCGGAAGTCACGTTATTTCAATTCAAAGCTTTTCCCTTGAAAGCAGATAATAGATGATCGGTACGACTTTATTGTTAAAGGAAAAGTATGATGTACAGGGGCAAGACACTACAATGTACTAATTTGTGGTGGAGAGCATGCATATATTTTAAATGAAATAAATTAAAAATATGATTAAAAATAAAAAAAAATTGAAGTCCGGCAATGTGACGATGTTCCAATAAATAATTACTCGTTTAACGTAACTTGCATTCTAAAAATATGAAATTTGGTTCCATATAAATACTAATAGACAAATTGCGTTTTTATAAACTTTCTTACAGTACTTCAAAATGTAAGCGATTTTTTAAATTATAAATAAATTTCTTTTATCTTGCATTTTTGACTGAATTTCAGTACAACGAAAATATTTCGATGGTCTTCTCAATTTCATTATACTGACATTTCACTGTATTAATTATTTATTATTAGTATATATGATCTTATTTTAATTTAATATTATCAAAATAATTGAATTTAACAGAATATAGATATGGAAGAACGGAATGATGAAATTATTCATTAAATGATTGATGTCTATCAAACAATTTACAAGCACCATCTTTGCAAATGTAAGTAATCTTTTATATAATATGTTAATAACAATATTACTATGTAGCAGTGAACGCAATGCAAACATTTTGTTCAAAATGACGAGTAAAATAAAATAATGACATGTTCATTGTAACTTGACCTCGTTCCGTAACGCAAAATGGAAAGTAAGAAATCTAATTAGCTAGGAGGCCGAAACGATAACTTTAGAATTCGCATTACTGTTCACACTATATAGCAGTGGTTCCCAGCTTTTTTATGGCTAAATACTTTTATACTTTATTCTAAGATCTCCAGAATAATTGATGTACAATGGAGTCTCAAGCCACTTAACTTGCTCCAAGTAACAATGGAGAGGCAAAGAGTAAAGGTTATCTAAACAGAAAAGACACTGAGAAGAAAATGGTGTGGAAAGAAGGAAATCTAAAAAACATTCTTAGCTTAATTTATGAATAATAAAATGTAAGAACAATTAGCAGGCTTTCAAGTTCACTGTTAATAACTCATTCTCGAATTGTCCCCTTAAAAATCAAATTGCCTCCTGTGGGGTGTGTGCCCCACATTGAGAACCAGGTTATACAGGGTGTATCAGAATGACGTTTTAAAAATTTGGGGAATTGTAGATGATGAAATTCTGAACGTTTTGATGTAAGGAACCTGTAGCCGGAAATGTGATATAAAGTTTCTACAGCACTTTGCACGTTCTATGCGGTCGGTATGATGAATGAAACATCAGAATACAGTATTTATGACAAGTTTCATTGACAAAACAGTAGAGTACAATCAAACTGTACATCGAATCAGTTGCTGCATTACTTTAGAGTAAATGTTCAATGTGACAACCACCAACTTCGTTACATAATGTACAACGACGAACCACGTTTTGTCCGACTCTATGTAAGATGCCACGCTCCACTCTAATGGTATTAAATACTGTAAAGATGCGCTCCGTAAGTTCATGACAGGCTCAGTTAGACCACTGTAGTTGTGTGTTTACAGTCTTCCATCCGCAGCAATAACATGACGTCATTGGACGGAAAGGTAGCTACCAAAGTAAAGGGCGGTCAAGCACTTCCTACTGCTGTAGATACTTTAGTTCAAATTTCCGACTATAGGTTCCTTATATCAAAACGTTCAAAATTTTATCCTCTACAGTTCCCCAAATTTTTAAAACGTTATTCTGATACACCCTGTATAGTGTTTGCATTTCTCAAAAAAAATATGTAAATACAAATACGATATGGTCTTGATTAATCGAGATTTCGCTTTATCCAGGTTAATTGTTAAAAAGTAGGCTACTTTTTCAATAAAGACAAGAGAACGTAGCTTAAACTGTTCGTTTCGCGAATTTTGGCCAAGAGGTGTTTTATACTCTAAGATCTGCAAGCTTAAAAAAATTTCCCTCTTACCACAACAATACAAATTTCATAAAAATATGAAAGAAATTCGAATTATAATCCTCAAAAAATTTTATTTTATAACAATATTCATGTAATTCTTCGATTACTTTGTAACAAAAAATGTGTTATCTGAATTTTTGAATATTCGAAACAGCCTCAATCCACATTACCTTGCGCATATCACAGACCCCACCGAAAAATGGTAGTTGGTCCTATCCTAGATTCGCGTTTGACCAACAAGAGGTCGCATGGGGTTTTCGGGTTTTCTTTGCGTAATTGTGCCTATTTAAGTGTCCGATACAGAAAACCCACAATTTTTCATAGAAAAGTCCTTCCGTAGGCCACTATTTTTAACAGATCGGTCTCATGTTGCGTTTCCATATCTCATCAAATCAAACTAAACCAATCGCACATAGCAGGCCTAAAGACGATGCTATCTTAGAATCTATTTTTTCAAAACTCTTTTTACCCTACGGGCATTAAAAGAGCCTTTATTTCCATGCCCACCACGGGTTCGAACAGGTCCGCAATGGGGTGGCTGGACGGAGCCCGGTATATAGCAGAACATACCACTTTCGAAAAACTCCTGGGATTGCTATACGGTGTTTCCTATTCCGAGTCATGTAGATCGGTAGGCGATTTTTATTACAGACAACCGAACAAACCGTCTGTAATAAGAATCGATGGCTGTAAACATCGGTTCTTATTACATGATGGGTAATGAACATGGGTATTATCGAATCAATAATATCGATGCATCAAAATGAAATCAATTCGTCAAAACATAATTTTATTATCATTAGAAAAATTTATATATTTATATCAAAACCTACAGTCATATTTTAAATGAATAACTCCGACAATAATGACGCCACAGAAAAGATGACATTACGACATCTCTAATAGGTCTTAGTACAGAAAATGAATCTAAAATACATAGAATTCTAGATGCGGGCAGAGTCAAAACTTGATTAGAACGACTCCAGGATCGCAGCATCACTTAATTTAGCTGTTTGTTAAGTTATGGCAACGCAACACTTGGCGATATGCTTAGGAGGACGCCTTCCGGGAGGTCTTTTTAAAGGAAACTGGTCCCTATTTAGGCGTTACATACGTGAAGAAAACCCGGAAAACTCCACACGGCCGACCCGTCCGAGCGAGGAGGCGCGAACCAGCAACCAAGAACTCCCAGTGTTCAGGGTACGAAAACCGCTCGGTCACTGGTGGGCGACTTAATCTAGCAAAAATTATACTTTATAGAACACGGTTCTTAGTTAAATGATATTGCATCGTAGACAGCCGAGCGGTCAAGCTGGCAGCCTACGACTCTAAGGAACTTGGGATCAAATCCGAACGGGTCGAAAAATCAGGAATTTTTCGAAGGATAATCCGACCGGATATGTCGGGCCCCGTCCTTCACAATCCGGTCGCCCCATTGTGAACCTGGCCGAACCCATAATAAACTTACTATAAAAGGCCCTCTTAGTGCCTACAGGGCGGAAAGAGCAAAAAACAAAAGAAAAATTTTGCATCGTACAAATCCATAACTTTTTCCAGAATTGTCAATAAATGAAAATTTCGTAAAATTAATTAATTTGCATTTGCAAAATTTTTTATTTATTAAATTTCATTTGAATTTAAATTTTGCTATTCATTTTCTGCATTTAGTTGTGAATAAAAATAAATTTTCGAAATTAGAGGTCGCTCGTATCTAGTCGACCGCCAAATTTCAACGGCTTATATCATATGTTAGTTTTCGATTTATGAACAATGATTTACTTTTTTAAAGAGAATTGTTTCCGATTCTCTTCCCTCCAACATTCTCTTCCAATCTCTTTCTTCCTCGGATAACACTTTGATCTAATTTCTGCCGCAGGTAAATATGTCTCACTTAGATATTTGTATAAATGTGTCGTAAACATATAATTTTTATGATTTTTTTTCATAAATAAAGTAAATCTATTGACAGAGAAGTTGCGGAGTTTCTCATTTTGATGACTCTTCTACCGATTAATCAGTAATGTCGAAATTAAAATGTACTCTGGTCTTCTTAATTTAAGATACATTTTGAAAAAATTCTGTCAATTAAATGAAAAATTAATAAGATGAGTAATTAATATAATGATATCTACAACGTATAATATTATTCAGAGGACAGATTTTTAACGTGTCTTAAATTTTTAAGAAGTTTTATACTTTATAAACTGAAGAAGTAAACATTTGCATATTTAATAGTAATTTTTTACAAGGATTACAAACTTATAATTCTTGTAAAATATCATCATTAGTTCTTTAAGTTTATGGTAATAATTCCTGCTGAAAATATTGTATTTAACTATGATTTTCATATCTGAAAACACTTAATAAGTGAAAACCGTATGTTTATTATTTATACATTATATATGTATTATTATTCCATTTGAAGTTATGTATACTCTGACTTCTAGTCTGTTTTTACTACTATTGCATCCCTAAAATTTTTTTGAGTGAGAATGTTTTAGAACTATTGCATGGTGCATTTTTGTTATTGTCTTAAAGTAGCTGTTTTTTCATTCTTTGTTAATGGTTAATACTTCATTGTTATATGGGTTCAATTCTAAAGTGAATCAAGTCTGTACAAACTATTTAGAAGTTTTTTTAAACTATATTAAAATAATAATAAAATAAACATGTCAGAACTGGCAAACATTTATTGTGAATCTAAAAGAAATCTTCATGTTTGTTTAGTTAAATATTCCAGCATTTCTCAAGCAGGTTGATAGCCACCTTTTGCGTAGAATTCTGGCGGCTGCTGGTCAAAAAATTCTTTGATCCTATCCTTGCAAAGCTTTCTTGAAAAGTCTGAAAATGTGAAAGTCACACGGCAACAGGTCAGGACTATATGTGACTATATACAAGTTATAACTCATCTGTCACTTCTGATTATGTCATTCACAGTGGTGATAGATGCAACAGAGATTACAGTGTGTGTCTGATCTGGTCTCAGTTTATCCTGAATTTGCATCCTCTGTAACTCTTGCACCAATTAAACATGGCTGTTCTTCCTAAACAATATTTACCATAAATGTGCTTCATTTGTCTGTAGATGTTGGCACTACTATTCCCTTCAGCGACTAAAAACTGAACTACTGTCCATTGTTTCAATTCTGGATGCTTCCACTGTTACTAACTTAACATTAATCTGCCAATTACTGGAGATAAATCTATTCCTGCCAATACTTAAGGCAGCCTGCACTTTACCTATATTGAGCTTACCCACCCATAAGGTTGGCCATGAATTGCTACTTTACATGATGAAATATAATACGTGTTCACTTCAATTGCGCAATTCTTATACTAGTTTTCAGCATGATTTCTTTGACAGTTCAGGGACTTGCCATAAAATATGATAAGTTCATACATTTCTGAATGTTAGAATATATATCTTGATTCCACCATCCATATTATGAACTACATTTTTGTCTTCTTTGCAGATGAAATGATATCTTGCCAAATGCTTTTTCAAGGTGGAAACTGATGAAAATTCTATAAATCTAAACTGTTTGGAAATGGTTTAGTTTTCTAACAGAACTTTGTAACAAGTTCTAAATTCACTGTGTTTTATATAATTGAGCATTCTCATAGGGTAAAATTACATTGTTATGAAGACTTGGACATTTTATCTCATAATCTGAAAACTTTCAGCATTTACATTAAGTATTCCCCATGTTTCATACAATTGAAAAACAATAATTGTATTCTAAAATTCAAATGTGAATGAATCTAAATGTCAAATTTTGTGTTCTATTTTGTGAATTGCATCCAAGTTAGTTACTATATATATACATACGTGTTGTCACAAGAGGTAGGCATCAGGCAAGAGAGATCACACACATACACTCATCCATTTATCAAATTCCTCCAGTTTTTGCCACCTTCTCTCTCCTAGCACACTTTCTCATATCTCTCATGTTTCTAATATTTTGCTCTTTCAAATGCTCATCCAGTTGCTCCAACCATGATTTCCTTGGCTCTCTCTTCTTGGCCTCATTCTCTTTCTTGGCTTCCTTCCATTCCCAAGTATACTCTTTTCAGTAATTTCTCATTCATTTTCTCAACATAGTCAAAACATCATAAAGCAGAGTTACTCATGTTTTGTATGGCATTCTCTTTCACACTATATTCTTCCATGCTATGTCCATTCTTCACATGATCTTTTCTAGTCACTCTATGCACTTTTCTCAAATATTTTATTAGATATACAGTGATGTAACTCCTGTGCCTCTTCTATCATATCCATTTCTCACTATCAAAAATCACAAGTTACTTTCTAAGAAACTAAATATTTTGGTTACTTTAACTTAATGATTACTTTTATGATATTTGAATATGGTATCAAGTTTTACTTATGTTATGTAGTATGTTAAAGTACTGGCATAGAAAATTTAGGTTGCATTAAAAAGCAAATTAGTTTCTATAAAACTGAACTGAAATTGTTTTATCATTTCTTTCTGGCTTACCAGTGCCAAGTGGATAAAGTCATTGAACACTAGTATTTTTGCTTGGCCAGTGGGCTAGCCATATGGAGTTTTGAGTTTTCTTTGTATGTTTAACATCTAAATAGGAGTCAGTTTCCCATAAAAGTCTTTCACTCTAGTTGTTTGTAAAACTTACATTAAATTTAAAAGTAGTTCTAGGAATAATATTTGAAGTTACACATTATGCTTTTGACATAAAATTCAATAAAACAATTAATTGTTTTTAAACTTTGGAGTTTTTGTTTCTTTTGAAATTATAAACATGTATTTTGATTTTTTTTTACATATTTGGAAAATTTTTTAAAGCTTTTTATATTTATTTAATTGTTTTATATTTCAGAATTTTAAATAAAGCAGCATGTCCAGTAACAAAGCAATATCAAATTTGGAAAGAAATATATCTAATAGAACAACAACAAAAAATGTTTCTATTAACAATGCACATTTAGTAAATGCTAATGAGAAAAAAGACAGTATTTCAGTTGTAACAAAATCACTTATGGCATCTAAATCCAAAAAAGAACACATGATTGGAACATCTCCAAGACCAAATAGTTCTGGAAAAATACACAAAACTAGTATTCATCAAGAAGATATGACAGATTCATTAAGTGATCAATTGACACCCAAGCAATCTTCAGGAAAGAAAACCAATGCTGAGCAAAAGTCCATTTGTTGTACTAGCAGTTCTCAACGGACTTATACACCAACTAGAAATAACAAAAGTATTTCTAAGATTAGTAATGAAGAAATAAAAAGTAAGCGCTGTATTTTGTCAACAAAGACAAAAATACCTGGACAGGATAAATCTGGTAAACAAGAAACTTTTCAAAATAAATATGATACAAATGTAAAATCTAAGCCTGTACATTCTCCTCGGTTTATAAAAAAGAATTTAGTAATTGATAATTCTCCCAATTTACGATCAACTCCAGAATCTACAGAAATCAGAAGTAATACAATTTGTGATAAAATAAAATTGAATAATTCAACTCAAGGTATCCATATATATATATATATTTTTATATTAAATAAGTTTTGATCTTACTATGTTTTTAAATTTCTATGACAATTATACATTAAATGCTTTATTAATCATATTCAATATATTTATATTGAAGTTATATTTGTACATGTAAATTATATATTGAAATTATATTTATATTTAATGTATTTATATCGAATATGACTAGTAAAGCAACATTTGAATAACATAGACCTTTTTCAGTGAGATTGATTAAATGGTGATTAAAAATTTCTAAAGTCTGGAAACAGTAAATTAATTTATAGATGACAAAAAATTTATCTAGATCTTGATTAAATAAATCTATATTTTCTCAATTAAAACTGAGGGGGTTTATTTTTGAAACATTATCCCCTGGAGTTTATTTGAAGACTGGACATATTATCTTTGAACAGGGAATGAGTGGGTAAAAATTTGAAGAAATACCTTAATTGTACATTTTCTGAACAATCAAAACCATTTATTAACTGGGTTTATTGGTCACAGCTTCAACATTTGAAATAATTACAGAATTACTTTTATTGGAAATTATTTGAATTATTATTATAAAACAGAATTATTTGAATTGAAAATTTTGCTTGACAGAATTGTCCATAAGATATGCATATGGTTTTTTACTTTCTGCTTCTGTTTCACAGTTAATTAGCATATTCGTTAAAGGTGTTCCTAGTGATTAAAATTGATAGAGGGAATAGTTGTCATCCATTATGGTTAGAGCCAATTGGAGGACAGCTCATGATTTTACTGTCTCAATAAAGAAAAAATTGATCATTATGAGGGATGCTATATCTATTATATCTGTTGTTTTCAAGTTTTGGGGTGATGAAGGGCCTTTCTAGGGCATGAGGAAATGACCAATTGTTTATTTTCAACTACAACTCTTGTTTATATTTACTATTCACTCCACTAATTTTAATACCATACAATAATATAGCAATCATGCCCAAACTACAGTTTATGGGCTAAATCCAGCCTGCAAACATATGTAATATATCACTTAGAGTTTTAAGTGAAAGAAATAGGCCTACCTTTAATATATTTTGAATATACAAAATATTTGTGGCCTACCTACCCAGGGCCGGATGCAATAGGTGTGAGGCCCGATTGAATTTTTTTGCAGGGCCCTTCAAACTTTACATAATGAAATCAATTAACAGTTAATTTACATATTGAAATATAGATTTTAAATATTTATTTAAAACAAAATCCAAAATCTAATTTAAAAATCAAAAGTCATGAACCATAAGATAGACAAATTTCAACATTAAAAAACCTGTACCAAATATAAATACAACTACATTTTATTGAATATAAACATACATAGATATGTTTTAGTATTTCTATATTTTTAAATGAATATAACTACATAAATTTTTGCCATGAAAAATCTTCTAATGTGTTGATGAATGAATATAACTGAATTTTATTGAATATAAATCTATAAAGAGATGCTTTATATGTTCCAAAGTTTCTGTTCTGTAAAATCTAAAATAGTATCAAAATCCAACTGGCTTGCTTCTTGACTCTCAATCGACATGATCGCTAAACTGTTTAATCTATTCTGTAATTTGAAACTATTTTTAAATATATAAATTTTGATGTCCTGCGGGGTCTGATTGGCAGAAATTGCTCCAATCACCTCAAATCCGTCCCTGTACCTACCTATGACTTTTATGAACAATTTGGACTTGAAAAATTTGGGCACTGCTTCAATATAGTATTAAAAAACACTTGTGTATTTTGTGTTTTATTTCATTAATATATTATATTGTAAATTATCATTGTATCCATTATTTTTATGACTAAATGTAATCACTATATCATCATAATTTTTGATCAGAGAAAAAATAGATGGTAAGGGAGGCAGTTATAGAGCATTTATTAAAAAATACCAGATCAAAATAAGAATTGCCACAAGGAGGAGATAAAATCTCTTGGGGAAAATTTAAAAAATAATATATTTTATTTTAAAAAAAGGTTTCAGCAGGATCCAAATTATAAAAACCAGGACCAGTAGTAGTCCAGTAAACATTGGATAGATTAAAATTTCTGCAAAGAATAAGTCTCTGGTTATGTATAGGTTCAAGGTAGCACAGAAAATGCTGTAAAGTTAGAAAAATACTCATTCTTTTAGGGTAAGGAGCATAAATTGAAATAACAATCAATTTGAGATCTAGAATGTTAACAGCTAGAATGGAGTCCCAATATTCAAAAATTTTAATTACACAAAGTGATACAGGGAAAATTAATATGCCACTGCCTCTTTGATTTTGATGGGTAAGGGAAATAAATTTTTAAAGTTGTTCCTAAGAAAACATCCAATAACTAAACAGTCTCTAGGAGAATATACTGTACATGAAAAAGTTGATTCATTTCTTGTTTAATATTTTTAATAAATTTGAGAGTGAAGCTTTTGAAAACTTTCAAAATAAGTTATTTGTGTTTGTTTGATAAATTCTACTGTTTTGAGACATTTTTGCTTTTTAAGTTGGGATGTGTCAACATAGTTGAAGATATTGTTATCCATTAAATATGATGATTTGACTTATTTTAAAGAAAGAAGCTTTTTGAAGTAAATTAAATATTTATATTGTTTATAAACAATATATAAATAAAAAGACTTAAAAGTGTAATGTATTTATTTTTAGTATTTTTTAATTAATGTTATAATATAAAATTTTTTTACTGTATCTATATTGTGTACTTTTTGCTAGTGTCTGTATGTATATGTATGCATATATATTTTTTCTCTTTCTACAGAAAATACTTTGAAGCAAATCTCTCCAGTAAAAAATAAACAGAAATTTCCTAATTTAAGTGAAAATTTACCCAGTTTATCCAAAAGAGGTCATTTTGAGAATAAATTTAAAAGCACACAATTAAATAGTGCAGTTTCTGTTTATGTCAGAGTAAGACCTTTCACAAATAGGTAATTTTGTTTTAATTTAAATTTAATACTAATAATTTCAAAATCTAATATTTCAGAATTTAATTTTCTATTTTGATTTATTATAATTATTATTATTTCAGAGAATCATTATTAACAGATATATATAACATTATATCAGTAGAAGACAATTCTATTACAGTGAGAACTGAAGCTGGAAATGCATATCATTTTTCCTTTGACAGTTGTATATCACCAAATACTTCTAATACTGAGTATGATGATCAAGAATTCACATATAATAAAATAGCAGTACCATTATTAGATCATGCTCTTGAAGGTTATAACATATGTCTTTTTGCATATGGACAGACTGGATCAGGAAAAAGTTACAGGTACTAAGAACATAGTTTTTTACTTATAACTTTCAAAAATCTATTCTATATATATTGCCTTTTTTTTTATGGAAAAATGTTTGTGACAGTTTTAAGCTGTATTTTATATACTGTATATACATTTTTTCCATCACAAAAGAAGAAAAAAAAACAGTAGAAATGGCAGCACTGGGAATCAGTGACTTCTCATGAAATTTTTGTTATGAACAATCTATATTCAGAACAAGTGAATAAAGCCCATGTGGTGAAGCAAGCAGTGGATTGGGTCAGGGGAAAAATAGAAACAATGAAAAAATAATCAATGAATCACCTTGAAATATTTTAATTAGGAAAAGCCTGTAGAGTGAGCAAGCAAAGCAATTTGCTTATAATATAAACAAGTTAATATTCTTATGAATAAATTGCAAAAAATAGTCACAAACAAAGCTAAATAATAATTCATGTACGTTTTCAATTCATTTGGATTTAAAAAGAAATTTCCTATAACATTGAATTTGAATCATATTAATATAAGAATAAAATTATACAAATGAATATTTTTTATTCTATTTATAGCTATGTATATAAGCATATTAATACAAAAATATACAAAATTGAATAAACAATGTTAATGTTTTTTTTTTTTTTTTTGAAAAGGAACTTTTCATACGTAAGACTAAAAAATTTTTGTAGTCTTAAGTTTGGTGATTTTTGAATTAATCTGTGTTTACATATGATAATGATATATCTTATATTATGTTTAAACATTTAAAATTACATGCAAACTTACAATTTTATAATTTCATAACTATAAAAAAAATTACAGATTGACTATTAATCCAATAAATCAAAGATGAAATCTAATTACAATAATTAATATTTTTTATTGTACTATACAAAACTCTTGAGAGAATTTTTATAAAAATAAGTTTTTTTGTGTAGTTACATGTAAATTGTTTTGTGCTTTTGACATTTTATTAACAAGATGAATGCAATATAATGAGCAACATAAATCATTACCTTTTGTTTAACAACAACAATAAAATAATTTTATTTATTTAATGCAAATTCATTTAAGCAAAGTAATAATTTAAAAAATCTTTTGTAATCCTAATAATAAGTTAATGGTATAGTTTTTAAAATGTTTGAATTTAATACTCTTGGTAATTTTATTTAAATATTTTGTTTCTTAATTTTAAATTCATTCATTCATTTTAAATCTTGATTTAGTATGATGGGCACTGCAGAGAATCCAGGTATAATTCCAAGATTTTGTAAACAACTATTTTCTTGTACATCAAGAGCAGAAAATAAGGTATTGAGCTTGATACCTAATTTTTTATTTAAATATGAGTATATTAAGTATAAACTATTTAGGTTGATTTGTTTAAGAATTTTTTATATATGAAGATTATAAAAATTTTACTGTAAATAGTTTGAAAGTTTGAATGAATCCATATCTATATTAATATAATAATTTGTAAATTACATCATCAATTACATGTTTGTTACAGCCAATAGAATTCCAACAGTTTAGTTTTTTTAAATATCTTGTCCTATTTTCCACATACCATTTATCAACCTGATAACTTAAATTTTTCAAAAACATTCATTTTTCTTATATTAATTTTTTTTTCTGCTGGAATTTCTGGGTTTTGGTGTTTTTAATAATCTATAAACATTTTAAAAATTAGTTTTTGTTACATATCTAATTTTATGCATTTAAATCATAGACTCAAACTCTCAAATAGATCAAAATAGATATTATAATTTCCTGCAAATGATCCAAATAGAAGTTATATAAAACTTTCATATAACTCCAATCACTATAAACCCTACTTCTCCAAAATGGATATTGAACACATGATGCTTAATTGTTATACAGTTTAGAAAGTATCTTAAACATTTTTTTTTCCTGTTTTCTTTTATTTTATTTATGTTAACAATTTATTTAAATGTAATTATAAAATATTTGAGATGGAACCATTGCATTGTGTTGAAAGTAGAAAATGTCTACTGAATGACAAAGTTTTTTTTTTAGTTTCACTTTATTTCTGTTTTATTTATCTAATAATAGTAATAATAAATGTCAAAATAAACTCAAAAACATTAAACTGACATTTTTTGAAAAGTCAATTACTTAGTTATTCACTTTAAAGTGAATAAATGTGATAAAATCTACGTAGCTTTTAAATAGTTCTCTATGAATGCTTATGTAGAGAAAGAAAATTTCCAAAAATTATCACCTTTTAAGATACAAGTATGTAGGAATGTTAATTAAAGCATAGATTGATGTGCAGAATATGAATATAATCTTCAAATAACAAGGTGCTAATCAATATAAAGTTTGTCAACCTTATGTAGGTCCTTGCAAGACCTACATTAGGTTGGTGGTGAACTGTGTAGAGAGAACTAAAGATGAAGTATACATGTATATGTGTGGTGATTTCAGGAAAAATGTCAATGGCAGATGAATGTATCTTTGGTGCTTAAAGGATATTTTTTACATTTTATAAAGATTCTCTTGTTAAGTTTAGACAAAGGAAAAATTGTGGGATGATAATTACAAGTTAAAATCAGCAGAGAACTTATATCAAATTGACTTTTAAATACATACAATCCATAGATTAAATAATTTGCAAGTAATTGTGGTATTTTGATATTAGCAGTTTAGGTGATTTTAAAAGTTTAATTTTTGTTTTCTATGAATACTTCCAANTAAAAAATTTTTGTAGTCTTAAGTTTGGTGATTTTTGAATTAATCTGTGTTTACATATGATAATGATATATCTTATATTATGTTTAAACATTTAAAATTACATGCAAACTTACAATTTTATAATTTCATAACTATAAAAAAAATTACAGATTGACTATTAATCCAATAAATCAAAGATGAAATCTAATTACAATAATTAATATTTTTTATTGTACTATACAAAACTCTTGAGAGAATTTTTATAAAAATAAGTTTTTTTGTGTAGTTACATGTAAATTGTTTTGTGCTTTTGACATTTTATTAACAAGATGAATGCAATATAATGAGCAACATAAATCATTACCTTTTGTTTAACAACAACAATAAAATAATTTTATTTATTTAATGCAAATTCATTTAAGCAAAGTAATAATTTAAAAAATCTTTTGTAATCCTAATAATAAGTTAATGGTATAGTTTTTAAAATGTTTGAATTTAATACTCTTGGTAATTTTATTTAAATATTTTGTTTCTTAATTTTAAATTCATTCATTCATTTTAAATCTTGATTTAGTATGATGGGCACTGCAGAGAATCCAGGTATAATTCCAAGATTTTGTAAACAACTATTTTCTTGTACATCAAGAGCAGAAAATAAGGTATTGAGCTTGATACCTAATTTTTTATTTAAATATGAGTATATTAAGTATAAACTATTTAGGTTGATTTGTTTAAGAATTTTTTATATATGAAGATTATAAAAATTTTACTGTAAATAGTTTGAAAGTTTGAATGAATCCATATCTATATTAATATAATAATTTGTAAATTACATCATCAATTACATGTTTGTTACAGCCAATAGAATTCCAACAGTTTAGTTTTTTTAAATATCTTGTCCTATTTTCCACATACCATTTATCAACCTGATAACTTAAATTTTTCAAAAACATTCATTTTTCTTATATTAATTTTTTTTTCTGCTGGAATTTCTGGGTTTTGGTGTTTTTAATAATCTATAAACATTTTAAAAATTAGTTTTTGTTACATATCTAATTTTATGCATTTAAATCATAGACTCAAACTCTCAAATAGATCAAAATAGATATTATAATTTCCTGCAAATGATCCAAATAGAAGTTATATAAAACTTTCATATAACTCCAATCACTATAAACCCTACTTCTCCAAAATGGATATTGAACACATGATGCTTAATTGTTATACAGTTTAGAAAGTATCTTAAACATTTTTTTTTCCTGTTTTCTTTTATTTTATTTATGTTAACAATTTATTTAAATGTAATTATAAAATATTTGAGATGGAACCATTGCATTGTGTTGAAAGTAGAAAATGTCTACTGAATGACAAAGTTTTTTTTTTAGTTTCACTTTATTTCTGTTTTATTTATCTAATAATAGTAATAATAAATGTCAAAATAAACTCAAAAACATTAAACTGACATTTTTTGAAAAGTCAATTACTTAGTTATTCACTTTAAAGTGAATAAATGTGATAAAATCTACGTAGCTTTTAAATAGTTCTCTATGAATGCTTATGTAGAGAAAGAAAATTTCCAAAAATTATCACCTTTTAAGATACAAGTATGTAGGAATGTTAATTAAAGCATAGATTGATGTGCAGAATATGAATATAATCTTCGAATAACAAGGTGCTAAGTTTAGACAAAGGAAAAATTGTGGGATGATAATTACAAGTTAAAATCAGCAGAGAACTTATATCAAATTGACTTTTAAATACATACAATCCATAGATTAAATAATTTGCAAGTAATTGTGGTATTTTGATATTAGCAGTTTAGGTGATTTTAAAAGTTTAATTTTTGTTTTCTATGAATACTTCCAATTTAATTTAAATTATTTTTTTCTTAAATTCATTTTAAAAGATGGGCAAAGAAAAGAGTCCAAAAAAATTTTAGTTATTCAAGTTTTTGCTATAAAGAAATTTATATATATTTGAATTATAATGACTAAGGTTGTTGTTTATCTATTATAGATAAAATATGTGGTAGAAATGAGTTATTTTGAAATTTATAATGAAAAGATATATGATCTTCTGATGCCTTCCAATACTGAAAATAATAAAGTTCAAGTAAGTTTTTTTTTAATTAGAATGTTGTTTAGTTGAATTATATGCTGTAATGATAGAGAAGTTTATTAAAATATTGAACTCTCTTAAAATTTTTTTATTTTATATTTAATTGAAAAATTAAAACAAAAAAAGGTTTAAGAATTCCAATTCAGAACTATAACAGTAAAATGAACATTTAAAAGATTATAAAGCAAATCTGCAAGAATTTCACAAAATATAACTTTAATAAAATTACAAATATAAAATCCATAAACCCAATTATTTGTTTAAAACCAAAAAATTGCCAGATTATATTGAGCTATATTAATGTTACTACTATAAATAAATTTTAAGTAATTTGGCCTAGGAATAATTATTAGGCACCATCTCTCGATAAATTTAATAATTATGATTAAGTTAATATTTAATTTAGAAGGGTCTGGAAGAAAAGAATTGGCTCAAAACAGGACCAGTATGGTTATATCTAAATTTATAGGCTAAGATTGGATGGAGGTCCAGTAGGTACTGGCAACACAACTGCATGGTAACTGGAAGTTGCTGGTTCAAGTCCCACTTTAGGCCAGTTCTTTACTTCCAGAATTTTTTAAAGTATTTAATAAATATTAATTTAATTATAATTATAATTATTTAATAAGAAATGGTGCCTAATGCCTACTTCTAGTGCCAAATTCATGTTTTATATGCCATAAAATATGGTAAATGTTATACTGTACTTTTGCAAATGACTGGCATGCCAGTTTAAGTGAGGTTATACATTCCTCTCTAAAGGGCATATTACAAAAAATAAACGAGTTATGTTACAAAAAAAACAAACAAGTTTTTATTCTAAAACTGTGAAATTGTCAGCATTACATCAAAATCTAGATTATATGTTCAATTTCTCTATTTTATCTTCTTTCTAAGGATGTAAAATACACTTGGAATTCCAAAAATTTTTTTTTTTTTGTGTATGTGTATTTTATTGTTGTTCAATTCAAAAATAAAATTTAAGAACCTTGCTGTAAATTATCTCAGCTTAGATTTAGCATTTGTGTGAAATTTAGAAGAAGTTGTATTTTTAAGGTTAGGATAGATCAGGGGTGGCCAACCTTTTGCATACCATGCGCCAGTTTTTTGATAGACGACTTCAAATGCGCAGTGGCGTACCATGGGTGTTAGCCGCTCGATGCGGAGAAAAATTTCGGTTACCCCTTAATTAAATATTTCAATTTATAAGACGAAAATTCAGTTTTGCCACAGAACAAGCAATGAAAAATGCGGTAATAGTGTAGTTACCCGTATAAAATAGTTTTATTCGATATTAGTGGTGTACATGAACACGAATGTATTCTACGAGCAAAAAAAAAAAAGGGTCAACACGTGTCGCCAAAAAGTTAGTAGTCCAAATCGATTCCCGGACTGTCCAGACGGTAGCACTATCGTGGGACGTTAGCACTGTCACTTAGACGCNCCCGATGACGTTTTACGTATTATAGGAGTTATTTTTACCGTTGTTTACGGATAATGCCACAATTTTTATAGGAATCATAACTATAGGAAACGCTTTTATAGGGGGATCTACTGTATATAATAATAAGACAGTATAGTGTAAAGAAGTAATAATCATTTGCACCAAAGTACTTGTGTTTAGGCCACAAGAAAATCCGCTAGTAGTTGAGCAATGGAAGTTGTACAATGTTCTCAACACCACTGAACTCCGCCAAGCATCTGCGCGTAATATTCCGACATAGTAAGAGCCACCAGAAGTTGAAGGATTGTCTTCACGCTGCATCATTTATATTCACTGGAAATTGAAGAAACTTCGTCCACACCACAATTATTTCAGTAACAAGGAAACTGCTAGACGATCACGTTACAATGATGCACAAGAATAGAACACATAATATAATACACAAGTACACCACAAAGCATGGATTGATGTAGAGTTGATGCAGAAAACAGTCTAGTAGAAAAATGTAAGCTCCTTCCAGTTTCAGTAAACTTAATCAATTACAATAAATGTAATAACGTGTATTAAGTTCAAACACGAACTGTTGTAGCATGACAAAAATAGTTCCACCAGGTATTACCACAGAGAAACAGTGACAGTGCGTCATGTATATCTCTACCAGTAGAACCCACAGAATTACTCAGAGTGTCAGCCACAAGAAAATGTACACAAAGATGCCAAGTATACTACTGCACCAACTAAAGTCCAGCAAACACAATAACCACCAATATGCTTAAAGTGGTACGGCGTTAACACAGTGTGCAGTCCAATTAGTAGTATACATTCCCACTAGTCACAGTAAAGTCCAGAAGAAAGTGAAAAAAAATTTCTTCTTAAGTGACATTTATTCTGTTGATGTGCAATTATGACCACAAGGTGCAAGACCAAAAGTGAATAGCCAGGAAACTATCATAATTTACAATCCGCTGCAGTCGAATTTTAAACAAACCACAAGATCCCTAAGTTTAATTGAAGAGATCACCTCCAACACCAGAAGATTTAAACAAGAATGGGAAAAGCAGCAAAGGATACGAACGAGGAATCAAATTAAGCCTTACCAAGTGTATACTATTAACAACGTGTGAATGTTCTAGAAAAGGACATTAAGAAATTGTTGTAACTCGAAAATACTTTTCAAATATCTGAACAAGTAAATTGTAAGTTTCCTTATCCGAAGTAAGGTCTTGAGCATCACACGGCCAAGAACGATTTTTACTGGTTAGAAGAGTGCGTAACTGATGTCTTTCAATCTCAGTTATGGGGCAATCAAAGATATAATGGAAACTACTGTCAATGGTGTTGCAAACAGGACATAGACTGTTATTACGCAAGGTAAAGCGAGCAAGATATGAATTAAAACGGCCATGACCGGTGTAAAATTGTATAGAATGATGAGTAACTTCAATCCAAGTGTTCTTCAAAAATTTCAATATATCAGGAAAAAACTGTTTCGTAACTGAGGTGTTGGCATCCCAACTATGCTGCCACTCCACAAGCAAATCGTTCCAAAGAACCTCTTTCAGCATTTTTGTTGAAATCATATTGTAACTGATAGAGATGTTCTGGTCAGCCGCCGCCATTTTAGCAAGTTGATCCGCCCGATCATTGCCGTAGTCATTACAATGTGATCTCGTCCAATTAAAATAATACTCATTATCAGACTCAATCAACAGTCTTTGAATACTAAAGACCAGAGGATGAACAGACTTCCTCCGAATCGTAGAGAGAGAAGATAGTGAATCGGTAATGATTGCAATTTTGGCATTATTGAGAGCCCGTTCACACCACTCGATTGCCTGTAAAATAGCATATAACTCTGCTTGAAAAATGCTACAAAGTGAACCAAGTTTAAAAACATTATAGTAAATTTCAATATTGTTGCGAAAAGCAACGAAACTGGCACAAACATGACAGTCACACTTCGAACCATCGGTAAAAATGTTAATGGCACAACTAGTAGAAGAAGCTTCGATAAATCTGATGTTAGTGTAGGGGCTAAAAGTGTCTTTATAAGGAATATTTTTCTCCCAGCTTTCCTCAGTGAAGGAGTTTGACATAGAGGTAAGATGATTACCACATTTGACTTTCCAAATTTTTTGTAAGTAGTTAATATATTTATCAATAGGCGGCTTGCGAGCAAGCACTTGCAAACTAGCATTAGCCGTAGTTCTGTATGCTTTGGTTATCATCAACAAAGCTCTACGTTGTGCTGAGATCAATTTGCGTTTTTGATGTACCTTAACTGCGGCAGAGCCCCAAATGCCACAGCCATAAGTGAGAACGGGTAGAAAAATGCTATCATATATCATTCCCATAGCCAGACCACTAAGGCCCCAAGATGACCTGGCAACCTTGGCAAAAGCGTGCATAATATGCCCTGTGTGTTTCGTAATATAATGAATATGGTTATTCCAGGACAGCCGATGGTCTAATAATATGCCAAGATATTTAAGTTCTTTCACCACCTTTAGACTTTTACCGTTCATCCTAAGAGTTGGAACACGTGCATATAAGTTTCGTTGTCTTGGCTTATTAAAGACAATACCTTTACTTTTATTCGCATTAAAGCAGAGTTTATTCGTTATGCCCCATTCATATATCATGTTCAATGCACGATTCCCTTTGTATTCCAAATCAGCACGTGACTGCCCACCAAAAAGAACGAAAACATCATCCGCATAGGCAATCATGGCATCCTGCCCAAAGTCCTGGCAAAGAAATCTATCAAAAAGTAAAATCCAAAGTAAAGGTCCGCAAACGGAACCTTGTGGGCACCCTCTCAAGACTTTACGTTAAAAAGAAAGATGGCCCACAGAAAAAGTTGCAATTCTGTTCTCGAGATAGTCTTTAATAAGATGGTATATGTTGCTGGGGCATTGTAAGGTTCTAAGTTGATGAAGGACCAACGGCCACCAAGCAGAGTCAAACACTTTACTAATGTCAAGACTCAGGCCTAAAACATATTTGTTGTTTTCTAATAGGCTCCAAATTTTTCCAACAACCATTTCAATCGCATCAGTAGTAGACTTCTGATGCCTAAAGCCGTATTGAAAGTTATTGAGTTTACCTAAGGATTCCAGGTGCCAAGAGAGGCGGTTAGTTATCAGTTTTTCCAAGATTTTACCCAGTATTGGCAATAAGGAGATAGGTCTGACATCATCAGAAAAAGATGATTTAGGTATGGGAACAATGTGTGCAATCTTCCACGACTCTGGAAAAATACCAAATTGCAGGCACATGTTATAAAGCTGAAAGAGATGTGTAGGTATGACATTCCATAACATCTTTGCGATGTCAACCGTTAGACCATCAATACCAGGTGCCCTACCCTTCTTTAATTCATGAAAGGCTGAATCCACCTCGCTATAGGTGAAGGGAGGAGAATCCTCAGAAATGAACGGAAGAGACCAATCAGCAAGCAAAGTCTTATGCCAGTCAGAATCATCATCAACAGAGTCATCAACACAGAATGTATCCAACAGAGTTTCAACAGTGTCAAATAGGGTAGTAGTAATGGCAGTTACAGTATTGAAAGTGGTAAGGATATAATTCTTTTTTAATTTCCCAGTGCACATTTTTGTAATATAACCCCAGGGATTATCTGACACACGAGAACAAAAGTCTCTCCAGGACTGTAATTTGATATTAAGCATACGAACTTTGTAGATCCATTGATGTCGTAAATACTCATCACGACGCCTTTCTCTTACCAATGGGTTACGGCAGCGTTTGTATTTACGGCGTAAGTGGATATTCATTTTATGAAGCGTGGTGAGCTCACCGTTCCACCAAGGAACCCATCGACGCTTTCGAATGGTTTTAGGAATATAAGTATCACAAGTTAGATTAATATGGTAAATACAGTGATCAATAGCACATTTGGCATCTTCTTTAGTGTTACATACAGAGAGATCAATCACAGAGTGAAGATATTCAGAGATCTCAGACCAATTAGCGCGTGAAAGATTAAACCGCGCTCTATTTGCCAGGGGTAGGAAAGAAGCACTGCCATTGATTTTAAAAGTGATGTACGCATGATCAGAGAAGTTGTGCTTGTTCAAAACATGCCAATCAGCTACAGAGGTGAAGCAACAGCTGGAACATGTAGTAACATCAACCCAGGAAAAATATCGATCATTATTAAAAGTAGGGGGAGAATGAGGATCTTTTAAAATAAGTAAGTTATTTAAAGCTAGAAACTCCTCAAAGGCCTCGCCTCTATCATCAATCATATCACCACCCCAAGCCGGGGAGTGAGAATTAATATCTCCAGCAATAATGATATTACAAGAAGGATAAGATTCAATTACCTGCTGTAGACCAGAAAGTATAATACTTATGTTCTGTAGTCTGGGACAATAAATATTAATAATAATGTATTTAATATCGCCAATATAAGTCTCAATACAAACCATATAATCCGTACTAAAAGAGGCTAAGTGCAAAATAGGGATGTGGCGATGTGGAACGATAGTCACAGCCCAAGGACTATTGTTAGTACCTTTAACTATAGAGCAGTAAGCTGGAATAGAGGCAGGTTGATTACGTAAACAATATGGTTCTTGAACCAACACTAAGTCATAGTTGTGTATTTCACTCGCTAAGAGAGAACTGGCAGCAATGCTCCCGTGTAAATTAACTTGCAAAACAGTAATACTATTTTTATAATTCTGACCCATAGTCAGTCCTATTTATCAGGTTAGCTTTTATACGTTGAAACACTTTACACACAAAATCTCTAGCATTGTGCCTATGTTCCTCAAAGTAGTTGTGCCGGCAGTTGATACATGTAGGAGGCTCTCCAAGTTTAGGACAATCCTTAAATGCGTGATTCCCAGAACACTGGCTGCAAATGTTATATTCCTCTGAACATTCCCTTGTGCTATGCCCAAAGCGGCAGCATTTAAAACACTGCAGGACCGGGCAAAAATCCATGGCCCTGCAGCGCGACCACCCAATATTTAATTTATCTAATTTTAATACCTGTGCACGCATGGATGGAGAAACCTCAATGACCCAATTTTGGTAGTCACCTCCCCGCTTTCCAGTAGAAAATTTAAGGCGTAAATCCTGTTTAAAATCCTCTTCCAAATATAAAGAGTGGAAAGATTCATTTTGGTAATATATATTTCAGAGCAATTCTTCTTTAGTATCATGTTTAGGAATAGAAAAAATCATCAAATGAGGTCTCCGTTTTTTAGGCCGTTTAGTATTAACCTCAGGTATATGTTCCTTAACATAATTATCAAGAACATTAATGTTCTCACTTCTCTCAAGCTCGACAGCAATACCCCCATTTCCAATCCTACTAACTCTGTCAACACCAATCTTTATCCTCGATGGATTAACTCGTTCCTTAATAATTTTACATACGTCATCACTAGCATTATAGACCAGAAGAACATTTTTTGTTGTGGGCACATGTTTTTGCTTAGTAGAAGTACCCCTGGCCTTAAGTGCAGTACTATACAGCTTGGTAGTATTAATAACAGTACTTTTGTTAGTGTCAAGAGCAGTTAGGCGTTTAAGTACCTCATTCTGTTTAACAAGTATACTGTCATTTTTCAAATTATGATCATTCATTGTATCTATTTTCCCTGAGATTTCTTTTAACATATTAAGAACAATGCTTTGTTCATAAATATTAATGACCCTAGTAACACAATCCAGAATATATTCGGTATGTCTTACAGTGGAAAACTTTGCTAACGCAAAGTTTTCCACTGTCTCATTCATAATTTGATATACATTAAAGATAAACTTAATATTTAATATTTATATTAACAATAAAAACAAATACGCTACAGAAATAATAATAAATAACCCGAGAAATCACACTTATCACAAATCAACAACTCAGAAAAGCACCTTTACCATAGAAACGGCATAGAATGTCAAATTAACGAAATGGAAAATTCAATAGAATTGGCATAATTCAAATTTGGCTGTACATATCGAACTGAAATTTGGTAGCATTGTGACATTTATGATCCTGAATAAAGCTATTTAAGAATTTTCCCGAAAATGAAATCAGAAGCCCACAATAGAACAATGAAATTCCACCGGAAATAAGCAATATTCTCATAACTACTGGACCGAATTCGACAAAATTCAAAATCATACTCACAGAATTGAAGTGAGTCAGAGCCTGTGTAGTGATTCGGTAAATCGGTCAGCTGTAATCCGAAAAAAAAAAAAAAGATCCAAAGTTCCAAAATTTCCAACGCTCGTAGTTTGAAAAATACTTGATCAATTTTAATAAAAGTAATACCATTGCAATCCTTATTTCTTGCCGATTTCAAAAATATATAACACTTGTAGCACAAGACATCATTACCACAAATATCGCAAATCAAAAACAGAGCTGAAAATCCAACAGCTTAATACTTTCCCTCTCAGCATTAGGTTATCTAATTGAAGGGGAAGCTATATGGCCAGATCCCGAGCGCCTAAAGCCCTTGCTAGAATTACCTCTCCCTACGGATATTACATATCCTCGCCGAACAATAGGAATGCTGGGCCACTATGCCCCGTGGATAAAGGGATTTAATGAGAAAATTCAACCCCTAGCCCAGAGTAAGTCGTTTCCTCTGCCAACTGAGGCTGCCACGATCTATTCAGATTTGAAAGCTGAGATATCTTGCTCTACTTTGACTCCTGTTATAGACAATGTGCCTTTTGTTGTTGAAACAGATGCTTCTAATTTTGCCATCAGTGCTACATTGTCTCAGGAAGGTAAACCCATGGCTTTCTTCTCTTGATCCTTGAATGGTAGTGAGAAAAAACACTCTAGCATAGAGAAGGAAGCATACGCTATAGTCGAGGCGTTAAAAAAGTGGAGACGTTTCTTAATTGGACATCATTTTACATTGTGGCCGTCAGCCATGATATATTATATTTTCCTATATTTTTTATATTAGTATTAAGCTTTCCTTTCTCTTTGTCTATAACCATCTAGAACTTTCTTTTTCCTAAACCTTCCTATAATTTTCTTTGTCTGAACCCTTTTTGCCCTTGGGGGGGATTACCCTTTTCGAAGAAATAATGAACAAAGGAGAAGGGAGTGAGGCCCGGAGGCAAAAACAGAGAGAAAGAATATCAGATTGAGTGGAGATTTCGAGCAGAGAGGAGCAAACAGAGAGGTGCTCCTACAAGTGAAGTGATCTGACAAAGCGAACAGAGAGAAAAGAAAAAGGAAGGACTGCAGACGGAAAGTCTACAAGTGAGAGGTGATAAAAGACGACTCAATCCGGAAGACAAAGATTGTAGACGAAAGGTCTACAAAATAAGAAGTGACCTAAGAACAAAAAGTGCAGAGACAGAGAGAGAGATCATCGAGGGGAGGCCTCTTAGTCCGAAGTGTTCTCCAACCAAGGGCTCACCGAACCTAAACCCGGGTATTTCCACTTCTTTCCTAGTCTATCTCTATATTCTTTCTTCTTTAGTCATAAGTTAGTGTAAGTTAGATTAAGTAATTTTGGTCCTCTCCAGGTTTTTGTCGCGTGAGTAATAGACAACTGTTTTTGAAGTGTACCATTGAGCACCGGTATACGCGTAAGATTCGAAAAATTGTAAAGTTGGGATCAAATAAACGAACCTGTTCAGTGAGAAAAATAATACTTTGTGTCGTGAGACTTTTTTTGTACCCTTTTCGCTCGCGGGATCGCGTACTTCTCACTCAGAACACCACAACATTAATTACTGACCAACGTTCGGTAGCTTTCATGTTTCATTCTAAATCTAATAGCAAAATTAAGAATGATAAGATTCTAAGGTGGAGATTGGAACTGTCGTGTTACAAGTTTGATATTATTTACAGTCCTGGTAGTCGGAACACTGTTGCTGATACTCTATCAAGGATTTGCTGTGCCCTTCCTGATTTGAAGAGACTCTCTGTCCTCCACAGCTCCCTCTGTCACCCTGGAGTAATTCGTTTTTATCATTGGGTGCGTAGCAGGAACTTGCCATTTTCCTTGGAAGAAATAAAGAAACTAACTGCTTCGTGTCCTACCTGTGCGGAATTAAAACCAAAATTTCTTAGTACTTCAAACCACCTTATTAAAGCCATGTCTCCCTTCGAACGTTTAGACATCGATTTTAAAGGTCCCCTTCCTTCTAAGTCGAGGAACCGTTACCTTCTGACAATAATAGATGAATATTCAAGATTCCCATTTGCGTTCCCTTGCCCAGACGTCAGCAGTAGTACTGTTATTAAGTGCCTTCATCAACTGTTTTCAATATTTTGAGCCCCTTCATATATACATTCTGATAGAGGAGCTGCATTCTTATCTCGTGAACTTCGTTCCTTCCTCACCTCTATTGATGTTGCTTATAGTTTCTCCACACCTTATATTCCCCAGGGTAATGGTCTCGTCGAGCGTTATAATGGTATTATTTGGAAGTCAATCTCCTTGGCCCTCCGCTCGTCTAATTGAAGTATCGACCAGTGGGAAGAAGTACTAGGCGATGCATTACATGCTTTTCGTTCTCTCCTATGCACTGCTACGAATTCTACACCTCATGAAAGATTCTTCCGTCATCCCCGTAGGACAGGAACGGGTATTGGCCTTCCCACTTGGTTGTTGTAACTGGGATCTGTCCTACTTTGTTCACATAACTGCACCAATAAATATGCCCCCCTAGTAGAGGAAGTCCAGTTACTGGAGGTTAATCCTAAGTATGCTCACATTCAATACCCCGATGGGCGAACATCGACAGTGTCCCTAAGACATATTGCGCCTCGAGGCAAATCTTTGCCTGAATCCTCAAAAGATTGCTTCCCTAACACTTCAGCCCAGTTTCCTGATCAAGATAGTTCTGATGTTCAGGCAATGTCTCCTCCACCTTGCTACAGCAACTTATATCCCTCCCAAGTAGAAGAAATAGATATTTTCTCATCCCCAACAGAAATAATCGAGTCACCTTGTCCTGCAAGACAATGCCGCCAGCCTAGTTATTTGAAGGACTATATTATGTAATGTAAGTGGGGGAGAATGTAGTATTGTCACAGGGTGGCAACACTTCTCTACAGTAGTAGTCTCTTGGTCTGGCAGCACTGTTTCTCACTGCATTTGATTTGTAACGGTCGCGTGTTTTAGACACGAATAAAACCTTTTGGTAAGGTAATGTCTTTTGTCTCTTTATACTATTAATATAACATCACCGTCTTTCCCTTTAACTCTCATCCGACTGTTAGCGTATCTAGTTTCTTGTCTCCCATCAGCATACAGTATTTTAATAGTTCCGTCCAGATACTCTCGTTTCTTAAATTCATTTGTTCTTACTTCAATTTCACCATTTGAGAAACAAACGGTTTCTATTCCGTTTGGATCGATTCTGACGATGGTTCCGTCAAACATGATGCTCTGTTCAGAACCATCGGGATATAAAGTAAATTGAGAATCTCCAAAGACCACGGTTTTAACCCCATTTACATGGTAAGTTTCAATCTGTTTATTTGCAAGTTCTATAATTTGTAGTCCGTCCTGGTAGATTGTCTGTGCGGTGCCTGTTTCGGCATGATGATATATAATTCTCCCATCCGATAAAATTTGTTTCCAGTCGCCATTATAAAAGTTTATGGTTGTTGTCAAATTATCTGCACTGATACGTTTCTTTGTTCCACTTGAATATAAGTATTCTCTATCTCCGTTACTATACACATTTTCTATTTTATCTGGATGAGAGATTTTCATGAAATTTTCCTTCTCTGTAAATGTGTGACCGTAGGGTCGGTATCTCTTCGACACCACGTCAGGAGACCTAAATCTGACACCACCGAGTCTCTCGGGGACTCGGAAATCGCGATGTTAAGTCACACGAGCGGTAGCATGTGAGCGCTTGGATTCGGAGTAGAGGTGAGAAGAGAGACGAGGAAGTGACTCACTCGGACTCCATATTTTCTAACAAATAACAATTTTAATTAAATCGAACTAAATACTATACAGAGATATCGGGCATATTATCGTTCCTAATTATACTAGGCCGTTGAGAGAGAGAGTTTACAAACAAATCGCGGGTTGATAAATACCTTGATTCTGGGTCGAAAGATCTGTGGTTACGCCGATGATGATACGCCGATGGAAAGTTCAATCTACTGGTTCTGGATCTTGTCCGTTCACTGGGGTGGAGGCACGGAGGTGTGGAGATGTTATTCTTAAACAGGCACGATCTTTTCCTCTTGGTGTTAATCCTGGGTCACTGTTTTAATCCTGGAGTACGACTTTTGTTGAGCGGACTTTGTGAAGATGACTGTTGTAGAGGGACTTCGGATGACGACTTCTGTAGAGGGACTTCGGATGACGACTTCTGTAGAGGGACTTCGGATGACGACTGACCTCGGGGACCTTTTTCCTCTTTCTCGTCTTATTCCTCTTGGGTTTTTTCCATGAGGTCAGGTGGTTGCCATTAACGGTCTCGCGTCCAATATGGATTCTCCATCAAAAGTTCCTGATGACACATCCCTGACTAACTTGATTTGACTCAACAAGGAACAAACTCCGTGGGAAATAATTTTTTTGGCTTTTAGCCTAACTCGATAAAACGCTCGAATTTAACTGATTAAATTGTCCAATAATTAAAATTTAAAATAACACTTTATTGTGGGTCTGTTCGTCCCTCACAAATGTATGTAATAAATGAGAAACTGCCTCGTAATTATGTTTATCTATGAGCAAATCGGTATTAAATCGCACTTTGAGATTTTTCTTTGGTAAATTTTGTTTTGATTTGGAATTCTCCATCAAATTTTCTTCACGATCCGTAGAGATCTTAAAGACAATTGTTTCCTGTTCTGTTCTGTCAGCCTTGGCTCCACTGTAATTATTTTCTTTTTCGTTGATGGCTTTATTTTTCTTAATCTGCTTCTTAACCAGCTTTTTTGCATGATTAATCACTTCAGTTCTATATATTGGTTGCGACTGATTAGTATTAATAATCTCCTTCTTTACTTACTGCTTTTTCTTCTGATTTTCTTTTAACAGAGTCAGCAACTCTACTCTTTGGGATTCCAGTTGTTTGAGTGAAATTTTTAAGCTCTCTCTCTCTTTTTCGGTAACGGCCAATTTATTTTGCAGTTGGCGACATTCTAACGACCACTTATTTTCTTGCTTTTCAATATCATTTTGCAATGTTTCTATTTGCTGCCAAAGCGTTGAGATGATCTCTCTCTCTTTCTTATCTGGATGATCCTTTTTCAGTTTCTGATATCTTTCAAAATTCTGCCTCTCTCTTCTTAGTTGTTTCCTTTCTTCGTCAAGTTCTTCTTGCATTTTTTTCTCCATTTCTTTTTTAAACTGTTCAAAATCTTTTTTTTCTTTTTGTAACTGTTTTACCATTTCTTCATGCTGCTTGCTTAGTGAAATTAAGAGTAGGGGAGATCCTTGTACCTTGGGACAAGCTCGTCATTTGAAAAATAATACATTGAGAAATAGTAAGTAGCGATATCTAGTAGCTATTTCATTACAACATTTAGAATGCATGATGTAAAGTCGGCCATTTTGACTCGTTTTACCACTGTGACGTCGTATGATTTTTATAGGTGTTTGTTTTTTTGCAATCCATTTGGATCTTGGTTTTAATCAAAATATTTTGAGGTGAGTAATTTAATTCAGGAACAGTTAGTTGATAATTTCATTCGTAACCACTTATTTTAATAAATAACATTTGATTTCTGTAATTCAAAAATTATATACATACTTTGTTATAAACAAGAGAAAATTATACCTTGGGACAGTGAATTTTTTGTACCTTGGGACAGTCCCAAGGTACAAGGCATTGCTTTTCTCAACTATTTATTTAATATTACTATGTTTACTTTTGTTGTTATGTTTCTGTTGGCCGTGAAGAAAAATAATGAAGTGAATAAAAATGCTAAATCTGTTAAAAAGCGAGTTTTTAAGAAGAAAAAAGTAGCTCTGAGGATGAAACTTCTGTGATATTAGAAAGTGATGAAGTTCAAGAGGAAGATAATTGTGGGTGCAGTGAAATTATTTACTACTTAGAGCACAGAAGACTGCATTCAATGCGTTACCTGTCGATTCTGGGTGCACGAAGATTGCACCTTTTTTGAAAATTACTGTCAGAAATGCAGTATTAATTCTGATAAAATTAGTAAGTAGTAATGTTTGTGACCTATATTTGTAATGACTATTGTTTTCCTTAATACAAAAATGAGATTATCTTTGATTTTCAATCATTTAAATGCCTTCTACAGAGCATTTAAGCTTTATACTTATATGCATTTCCAGCATATGAAACATTTTTGTTAACTGATAAACCTAATATTGCCATAAAGGAAAAAACTTGGATATACTACTTTTTTTTCTTCTGGTGGAAGTTAAGATTTACAAAAATGTTAGGATTGTTCGTGTCTCAAGGTACAAACATTGGTGTCTCGAAGTACAATCCATGATTGTACTTTAAGACAAATATCTGCAAATAATTATTTGACATTTTCTCATAAATAAAATATCATAAAGTCAAGTGTTGAACCATATATAGTGATGTTATCAATTACTAATAGAAATAGTCAATAGTCATAGCTAAAGATCAATTTGAACTTAAATTATGAAGGTTTAAAGAAAAGTGTCCCAAAGTAGAAGGATCTCCCCTATTACTTTGTTTTTTAAATACTTCTATTTCTTCTTCCAGTTCTTTACTTTTCTTTTGAAGATGATACCTTTCAGCCAACAAAACTTCATTAGTAATGTCTGTAGAATATTGTGTGAAAGCCGAATTTATTGGAATAAATTTCTCATAAGAGGAACAGTTTAGAGAAATAAACAATGACCCAACATATAAAAAGAACATAAAACTTTTTTCCCACAAACTTAATTCCGTGTTGAGGATGATACATCGAATGTGTCACCTGGAATCTACGAAAAGACAAAAGAAAACCTCTATTGGTCAGTGGTGAAAAAACAGTCCTAATAAGGCAGTGGAAAAACCCAACAATACCCCCTTTATAAAAGGGAGGGGGCAATGCGTAAGAATCAGTCTTCGGAGTTTGGTGTGAACTGTGGATTATGTACACGGATTAGCCACTACTATTCTAATCGCCGCCATTCGAAAGAACTTTGCGCCATATCGTTCAGAAGAACTTTGTGTCATATCAAACCCAACTTTCAACGTTCGAAAAAACTTTGTGCCACATCGGCTCGAAGGCTAAACAACTATACGACAACTTAAAGCAAGGTATTTATCCTTGCGCGAAATACATGTCAGCTCTCTCTCTCTCATGAATACGGGTAATCGGAAAGAAAGTAGATATGTTAACTGAATCGATTGTATATAGCTTAAAGAGAACAATAAACAGGCGTTATGTATAGATTATGCAGAGTGTAATTCCTCTGATTCTCTCTTTACGCCTCCATCCCAGAACTAAAAGTCCACAAACGCGACCATTCACGTAACCAAAATTAACGGCCAATAAATTTTTCCTGTGTCTGTTACAAGACACAGTGGTGTCATCCTGACAGGGCACCAAAGAGGTGCCTACCCTGCAATCACAGTAGTGTCAGAGTGGGATCGATTTTAAGGGAGATTTGAACAAAATTTGGGATAAATGGAGGCAAGAGGTGATGCAAATCCCCAAGGGCGTCAGCGCGGAGAGGCAGGAGGAAGTATGCTGGCAGCAGGGGGTCTATCTGGGATGATTCATTTGATTCCTACATTTTCGGGAGATACAGAAGGATTAAGGATAGGAGACTTCTTCGATTCCCTTGATGAAATCGCTAAATTAACTAACTGGACAAAATCTCAATGCTTGGGAGTAGCAAAACTGAAATTGTCTGGCATTGCCAGGGACTTTGCATGTAAAGATACTCGCATGAGGAAGATTGATTCTTATGAGGAGTTTAAGAAACAAATGAGTAAGCACTTTGAGAAGGAGCCATATTCCCTAAGGTTACAGAAATTTCACACTTGTGTGCAGGAGCACGACGAGAACATGCAAACGTATGCCGTTCGACTGCAAACACTTGCCTCGGAAACAAACTGGAGTCAATGCACGCGAAACAGAGATTATCAAACAGTGTCAAGCGAAAGAGAAAGACGAGCGATTGCTTGCCAAATTTATGAGCGGTCTAAACAATAGGAATAAGCAGCAGGTGCTATCGAAGAAACCAGACTCCTTCGATAAAGCAGTTAAGGTAGCTATTTGTGAGGAGACGATTGATCAAATAATGGGGAAATCCTGACTTCCTATAAGAGCAGTGAATAACCTTGATAATGAACAAGAGGGAGCTAGTTCGAATAATAATTTAGAAACTACAGTGACTAGAATTCAGACACAATTAAATGAATTGAAACTAAGGAACGATAACCGGATGACACAAGGACGAGGAACTCCGTTTCATAAAGATACATATCCAGCGAATCGAGGAAGGCAATACCCCACCTCAAGAGGAAGGCATGGTTATTACCGAGGGCGAGCGGAACCATTTATCAGCAAAACAAGAGGCGGAAAACGAGACCAAGACACTACTTATTCTCAGCAGTACCGGACCCAGTAACACCACAGGCGGACAGAGAAATGTTCACCAAACTCGGCCTGCTTCAACCCAGCAACAAGGTTCCTCATACGGACGAATTAATAAAGCTGGCGGCGACTTCGAGGAGGTTTTAGAAATAGAAGTACATGTCGCTCGTCCGCATCATCACCTTATTTACATCATGCTATGGATCTATTTCCGAATAAATTAGACGCATCTAAGAAAAGCGGCAAGGCGTATAGGGAATCCCGAATCAGAGAAGGAGTTAGGATAGTAGCTCAAGACTTTGAACCTAGTTTACATTGTATGACTAACGATTTTCCCGTCAGGTTAGCTATAGATACAGGCTCTAAAGTGACCCTTCTATCCCGTTCGTTAGCTCAAAAAGTGACTCAAATAGATTTTAATCGGAGAGAAAGGAAGGTGTTGTTTCAAAGTGTAACAGGTCATAGAATTAAAACATATGGAACTGTAGAGTTCCAGTTTAAAATAGGACCCTTGCAGTTTAAGTATTTCTGTTATGTAGTAGACAATTCAATTCCTCAACCATTTGATGATCTTTTGGGGCAAGATATAATAAAAGCCCTGAAACTTACAATATGTTTAGCCACTGAGAAATAAATCTTTCCGGGAGAAGAGGAAATTGACTTCTGGAGGCCTGAAATCCAGAAGAGAAGAAAATGGAATCGCAGAGGAACACCCATACCACCTATTACTAGTTTAACTCCAGAGAACTCTAATGCTAAGTCAACTACTATAAGAGAACCTAATACTAAGGAACAAGTCAGAGAAGTAATTTTATTGGATGATTGTAATCTTCCTCCTAGAACGAGACTATTGTGATGGCGAGAATAGTGGGAATAAAATGAAGAAAAGAAATAGGAGTTATAGAATCAGAGATAAATGATCAAGAAGGTGTTGTAGGGGCTGATTCAGTGATAAAAACAAGAAAAGGGGCAAAATCCCCGTTCGCATAACTAATTTGTCTACTCAGTCTAGAAAATTGCCTAAAGGTAAATGTGTGGAAACCTTTCATAAAGCAATCGAAGAAACAGTTCCTCCTCCAACTATAAGTTAAAATCTACACTCACAAAATACTACTGCAACTTTAACTAAAAAGAAATTTGGCCAACTGTTTGATTGGTCCCATGTGGGGAAAACGGTCATTGACTTTACTCTTATGAAGTAGCTGGAAACTTGGGTGAGTAGCGATTTTATCACTTATAATCGAAATAACAAGGAAGAAGGCAACGGCAAACCACTTCCTCAACTCTTGCCAAGAAAACTACATGGACAAGGAATTTCATAATAGAGATATAGTGTTGGAGGATGAGACCTTCGGGTTCGAAAGCACTCTAACTTCTACTGGGGACGAACAAGGAACTTCACTGACTAAGATTGAACATAATGGCATGATTAAGTCAAAGCTGAAAGGGAGTTTAATCATTGATGCAGTCAAACACGAAAAGAAAGTTCCAAGTTTCTTCAAACAACACATATTTGCAACATGGAATGTGAGAAGCATGTATGCTGGAAAACTAGACATAATTAAAAGTGAAATGACAAGAATAGGGATAGAAGTGTTAGGAGTCAGTGAGCTTAAATGGATAGGAATGGGACACTTTGATTCAAATGACTTTAAGATCTTCTATTCTGGACATGATAACTTAAGAAAAAATGGAGTGGCTCTAATTGTAAAAAAGAATTTAGTAAATTTTATTTTGGGTTATAAACCAGTTAGTGACAGAATCATAGTCTTGAGGATGCAGGGAAAACCAGTCAATCTGTCAATCATTCAAGTTTATGCTCCTACTACAGAAGCGACAGAAGAAGAAATTGAAGGGTTTTATGAAAAGCTTCAAGAAACAGTTAATAATTTACCAAAAAAAGATGCACTCTTTATTCTTGGTGACTGGAATGCAAAAGTAGGAAAAGAAGAGACTCCAGGACATGTTGGAAGATATGGTCTTGGGAAAAGAAATGATGCTGGGATACGACTAGTGGAATTCTGCATTTCAAATAACCTCTTTATTGCAAATACATATTTCCAATTACATAAACGAAGACTATATACATGGACATCACCAGATGGAAATTATAAAAATCAGATTGATTATATAATAGGTAGCAAGAGATGGAGGAATGCAATCAAATCAGCATGTACCAGACCGGGTGCTGACTGTGGGACTGATCATGAACTCCTTATATCAAAAATATCATTCCATTTGAAAGCTAAGAAAAAAGGAAGGGAAATAATGGGATGTTATGCTACAGATATCACCCCATCTTACATCTCAGAAATAAAAGAAGGTCTCAAAACAATTAATACATCAGGAAAGGAACCTGATGAAGTATGGGAGTCTTTAAAAAACACTATTAAACATACTGCTGATAAATGCATAGGAAAGAAGAAGAAGGAAAATAAGAAATCGCCTTGGCTGTCACACAAATCTTTAGAAATTGCAAACACTCGGAGACAAATGAAAATTATAGGAGATCGTCAAACAATTAAAAAATTAACTGCAGAGTTCCAAAGACAGGCTAGGAAGGATAAAGAAGAATATTTTAATAATAAATGCAAAGAAATTGAATTAAATAATGCGAAAGGACGTACAAGGGATCTCTTCAAAACAATTAAAGAGGTCGTTGGAAAATTTACCCCTAGGCTTGGTATTTTAAAGAACACACATGGAAAAGATCTAATGGAAGAAAGTGAAATAAAGAGAAGATGGAAAGAATATACAGAACAGCTTTATAAAGCAGATAATAATATAGAAGAAATAATTGAAGGAAGACATTTTACTTTGGAACCATCAATTTTGAAGGAAGAAGTGGAATGGGCAATCAACCAAATTTCAATTGGGAAAGCAGCAGGAACTGACGGAATTCCAGTGGAACTGCTCAAAGCAGCTGGAGAGGAAGGAATTAGAATACTAACAAAGCTATGCCAACAAATATGGGAAAAGAAGGTTTGGCCAAAGGAGTGGAAGCAATCCATTTTTATACCAATCCCAAAAAATGGCAATGCAAGAGAATGTTCCAACTATAGAACAATCGCACTAATTCCCCATGCAAGTAAGATTCTGTTAAAAATAATACAGAAGAGAATTGAGCCATATTTAGAAAGAGAATTGCCACTGGAACAGGCTGGATTTAGAAAGGGAAGAGGAACTCGCGATCAAATTAGCAACATCAGATGGATTCTAGAAAAGGCAAAAGAGTACCAGAAGGACGCCTTCTTTTGTTTTATAGACTATAGTAAAGCCTTCGATTGTGTGGATCACTCCAAGTTATGGAAAGTACTCAGGAGCATGGGAATTCCTGAACACCTTATATCTTTATTGATGAGTCTTTACAATGAACAAGAAGCAAAAGTAAGAACTCTATACGGAGAAACTGAATGCTTTAAAATTGAGAAAGGGGTGCGACAAGGCTGCATTTTGTCTCCATATCTGTTTAACTTATATACTGAATATATCATGAGAATGGTTACTACAAATGAAGAGTCCATTGGTATCAAGATTGGAGGCGAAACTATTAATAATATAAGATATGCAGATGATACCACCCTTTTGACAGAAAGCAAAGCAGATTTAGAAAAACTTATCATAAGGGTAAAAGAAGAAAGTGCTAAATTTGGTTTGAAGCTAAATGTAAAGAAAACTAAAGTAATGTCAACTAAAGAGTTAAAAGATTTCATTGTGGATGGTGAAAGAATTGAAGTGGTAGAAAGTTACATACTTTTGGGCTCAAAGATAGAAAGGAATGGAAGTTGTGAAGGAGAAATCAGGAGGAGAATTAATCTTGGCAGAACAGCCATGGCAAATCTCACCAAGATAATGAAAGATAAAGACATTTCCATTCATACTAAGAAAAGAATTGTAGAAGCAATGGTTTTCCCTGTAACATTATATGGCTGTGAAAGCTGGACTCTAAGGAAAAAGGAAAGAAAAATGATAGATGCATTCGAATTATGGGTATAAAGAAGATTACTTAGAGTTCCATGGACAGAAAAAAAAAAACAAATATCTCAATTTTAGAAAAAATTAAGCCAAGCTTCTCTTTAGAGTCAAGAATTTTAAAACAAAACTTGACCTACTTTGGACATGTGATGCGTAAAGAAGTTTCCCTAGAGAAGACTATTATGCCGGGAAAAGTGGAAGGTAGAAGGAAGAGGGGAAGGCAACGGATAAGATGAATAGAAGAAATAGAAAAAGTCACAGAAATGAAGCTGGATGAGCTACGAGAGACAACAAGGGAAAGATCAAGATGGAGAAGACTTGTCCATGAAGTCACCAGGAGTCGACGACGACTCGATGGAACTTAACAACAAAATGTGGGGAAAGATAAAAAGACCCCATTGCTAGATTTATTATATAAGTATAAGCATGTATTTGCTGCCAATAACTATGACTTAGGATATTGCCCAGTAGTAGAGCATGAAATAAATATCGGAGACTCTTCACCTATATATCAACCACCTTATAAAATACCATATGCCCAGGGAAAGCAGATGAACAAAATAATAGATGGATTATTGAAACATGGAGTAATAGAGCATTCTAAGTCTCCGTGGTCCGCTCCGGCTCTTTTGGTAAAAAAGCAAGATCAAACATGGCGCTTAGTTTACAACTATAAAAAATTGAATAAAACAACAAAAACAGATCCTTATCCTTTACCACTTGTGCAGGAAGCAATGAGTCTAATAAAACAGGCAAAGTATTTTTTGTCTATGGACACCTTATACAGATTTTGGCAATTGGGACTGCGCGATAAGGAGAAGTCAGCCTTCTCTAGCCCCGATGGGCACTATCAATAGAACCAAATTCCAATGGGTGTTTGCAAAGCCCCAGCGTCTTGGCAATGTGCCGCACACTTTATTCTCCATAGTCTCAAAGGAAAAATTTGTCTTGTTTATATGGACAATATACTGACTTTCAGTCCCAACTTCCAAAGTCATTTAACTAGATTGGAACAGATTTTCCAACGATTAGCTAAAGCTGGCTTGAAACTGAAACCGAAAAAGTGTCATTTTCTCTAAGGCAAATAAAATTCCTGGAACATGATGTCTCCGAAGAAAGGATAAAGCCAGATCCAGAAAAAATAGCATGTGTCTTAAATTTTCCTCGACCAACCAATCAACATGATATTAAATCTTTCCTGGGCCTAACTAAATATTATAGACGACATATCAAATCCTATGCACATATCGCAAAGCCTTTAACTGATTTATTAAAGAATGATACAAAATTTCAATGGAAATGTTGGTTGGTTGGTTGGTTAATTTTTATTGGCACAAAAGCCATGCAGGCTATACTGCGCCAGGACACATAGTACAATTGAGGGTATAAAATAAATGGGGAAACATATAAATATAAAATCTATAATATAATAAATAAAAAAATAAATAAACAACAACAAAAAATATACACAATAATTTAGATGTACAACCCAAAGTAAATAAAACTGTACAATAAATAAATCATCAGATTTCCCTAAACATATTAATGACTTTTAGAAAGTCCAGTATATTATCCGGATTTGGCCTCTAACCCAAAATGTCTCTAAAGCATGCATTTCCGAAATGCTGTCTACAACTCTGATCAAAAGCAACACAGTTGCAAAATATGTGTTTAACACTTACAGCACAGTTGCAGTGCTGACATACTGGTTCGTCATCTCCCGTCAAAAAATATTGATGAGTCAGTCGAGTGTGTCCAATTCTCAAAAGAGTAAGGATAACCTCAGATCTCCTATCATATTGCCTATTATGTGTCCAATTTTCTACCAAACGTTTCATCTCGTGAAGTTTAGTGTGGATTTGTGCATTCCACATGATTTGCCATCTCTCTTGCTAGTCGTTAAAAAACGACTAGCTTCAAATCACCTCCTTCAATACGCATTGTATGCTGTGAAGGACTTCCAGACTTAGCAGCTGTATCAGCTTCTTCATTACCTCTTATACCCACGTGGCCTGGGACCCAACAGAACTTCAAAAAAAATTTCTCGTAGTAAGATGACAAATTAGTTTTCGAATTTTAATAACTATGGAGTGAAAACTACGTTCATATGAGATCAAAGTCTGAAGTGCACTAACTCAGTCAGTGTAAATCATGCAGCAACGATGACCTTTCCGATTTATATACTTTAAGGCTAAATAAATAGCCTGCAACTCCGCAGAAAAAATAGAAAAATTTGGTGCTATTTGTTCTGCCACAATTTCATCCTGGCAAACAAAGGCTACGCCAACATAGTTATCAGATTTAGATCCATCAGTGT